TCCCATATTTTAGAGTGCTTAATTTCAAGGATATTCTAAAATGAAGATGAATCCCTATTCCTTTATAAAATCAGCTATATCGCATTCATAAAGAAACAGTATTCCTTGAGTTTGATGAAGATTAAACAGTATCAGATATTCAATGGACACACTCAGAGTTGGTATTTCAAATTGATGGTCCTTGACATTACAAAAAACATAGAGAAAGAGATCTAACAGGTTCTTTACAGTACGAATGTTGCATAAAATTGGAACAAATATACTTATTTGACATCCAAAGACTTGGTTGAATTTGAACAATAGGAAATTGAGTTAATTCCCTTAATTGCTCAATTGATTAACAAAAAAATAGATATTTGGTAGTCTCAAATCAGAGGGTTCAAAAACATATACTACCTACAAATGAAATTAGTCAATTTTTCATCACTCATTGATCAAGTCAGAAAGATGCTAGCTAATATCTTTGAAAGAGAAATTAATGAATTAAGCATAACTTTAATCAATAATATTTATCATCTAAGAATATTATCCTTATACTATTCTTTGATTATGAATGATTAATTGAACAGTTATCTGTGTGAGAAGTAAATTTAAATTGTGTATTACTTCGAATAAACCCTCAAATAAAATGAATTAACCTCTTTGGCCTTGATTACAGACAAGATCTCAGTGATTGCTGTCAGTCTGGTAAAGAAGTAAGGAGAAATATTGAATAAGAACAAACAAAAGATTGGCAGTCTCTTTGGTTATCACAAAAGCTCTGAATATAATGCATTATTATCAGTCAATCAAATTATACCTGATTTCATTAGCAATATACATAATGAAATGTTAACAGAATTTTTAAAAAAGGGACATTCTCCTTTTTTTGTCCAATTTAAGACTGTCTTTGGTAAAAATAGAGACTATTTTATAATGCCATTACAATTAAAATTTTCTAATGATTTCAACTTCGTGGATGACTTTGTAATAAAAGGAGTGATGTATTAAGGTCAAAAACAATAGGATTTTATTCTATTTGATGATCAAGGTCACATCTAAGGAATTACTTAGCAATTTTATGAAATCCTAATCAGAGATAATTAGAAGGTTAATAAAATAGATTAAGAAGAGTTAACCAAGCAAATGTACATATATTACTTTATGCCTGAAATCTTTAATATCATATAAGAATATCAATAACAGAAATAGCATAATTAGCTTGTATAGTTCTTAGAGGACACACAGTTTATAATTATTCAGAATCTGATGGAATTTCATGATGATTTCTCAAGACAAGCAAAGAAGTTTACTAAACACACAGTCACAGATCCTGCTTTGTATGCATCCAGTTACACTAATTGTTCTGAACTCACCAATAATAATGTAAAGGCTATTTTGAGAAGAAGAATGTTTACAGAAATAGACCGAAGCTTATTAAATGAAGAATTCGCTAAAAGTGCCATCAAATTTATCTATAATAATGTAATTCTTCTTCTGATTATTTGTAGCTTGATATCTATGTCACCTACTTCATAAAGTTTCAACTCCAGTACTACCCTATACAGAATGAAAAAGTGAAAGGATTCTACATACTAGAAATCATTGATTATAGAAAAAACTACGATAAAAAAGCTGGAAGTGAGGCTGTGTTTAAAGATCTAGAATCATAAATGAAATAATCAATACGAATTTAAAGTCAATTCATGTAGAGAATCGAAAATCAAACTGAGTTTGATGAAATCAATGTATGTCAAGTTGGCAAATCCAACACCAATACTACTGAAAATATTAGACTTGAAACCAATGGGGGGAACTCCAGCAAGAGAGTTATCTTCCTTAAACCTGAGATTTAGAGTCAAATAAATGATTTTGCAGGAGGAGAGAATTCATCCTCTAGTTCTGATGAAAAGTAAGAAGATTTCTTTTCTCCTCCTCAATCAAATCGGTTGTAATTTTGTAAAGAAAACGATAGCATACAACCTCATCAATAAAGTGTTAAGAACTAAAAACGAAATATCAGTGAAATGGAAATGGCTATCAATCAAAGTCAATCGAGTGGCATTTCAAGATAATCAAGCAGAACTAGCACTTACTTTAATAATCTGTTTTAAAATAAAATTAAATATTCCAACAACGTTAAGGCCATAATCTTGATATGCATGCTCACTGTAACAGTTAATTTGTTTCTATGCATCTTTAATAGTGTAAAACTCTATGCAGGGTATTAGACCTTTCAAACAATAACTTCGAATATGAAAGTCCCTATGAATTTAAATAGATATTATTCTAAGACTGCCACCTTAGCATGGATCACTACTTGCTCCAACTATAGTATCCTAAATATAAGTTAGTTCTAGAAAAATCAAAACAAATATTAAATGAATTTAATAAATCAGTTCATGTTGGGGAATGTCTCCTTAATATATCCATCCTTAATTGAAACTGAGGAACACTTACCTTAGATCAATTAATCTTAAGGATTGTATAAGTTCACAGAAGTAAAGCTAACTTAATTTATAGATTATATGAATTTCTTCACTAAGTAAATTTTAGTTAATGAGGATATAAATTCAGATTATATTTAAGCAATGACCATTTTAAGATATAATGTTAAAAACATGCGATTGATCACAGTCTAAATCATGGATGAATTGGAAAATTAATTTCAATTGATTACAGATTTACAATAAACTAATCAACTGATATCCATTATCACTAATTCAATTTTGATGCTACTTCTGTATTGTGTTTAATTCATCTTTTCCTTAAAAATCCAAATTCAAAACTAGACTCTCACATTATTAGTCGGAAGAGTGAAGGAATAAGAAATAATGAATGAGATTGTGAAAATACAATATCTCTTATAGTCCTTAAAAAATATTGCTGGCGAAGACTCTTGGAAAAGAATCAATTTTTGGTCCTATGTGTTCTAGAATGATTATGACAACATCTACAAAACCAAACTGATCCAAGGTAAATCGAATCGGACTTCAAATTTGAATTCCAGAATTAAGCACATCAGAATTAGATTCAAATTTCAACTATTGAAGATAGTCATTTTCTTAATCATATACTTATGCTTCATTTGGGGGTTGTATATATTGTATGATTCCTAAACTTAAAAGATGATCCCAATCGTAAAATTGGAATCTCAATATGTCAAATTTAGTGTTAACATTGATATTCTTGTGTTTAGTGGATTGATTATTAAATCTTAGCCATAAATCTACAGCAAATTTATTGAAAATAACATTTATTCTGAATAGTAGATCAAGAGCTTTGATGATGGTAATCAAATGATCTAATTGTTCATTGAATTGTAAACTACTTTCAGTGAAACCATGAAATCCTTATTTAATGATGTCATTTCTACATTACCACCAACTGAGGATGTTGATTCTCTTAAAAAGCTCATTGATTAAAATATTTGCTTAGTACTTTACAACGAAATACCATTCTGTTAGTTTTATAATGTTTCCCAAGTTGAATTTGTTAATAGATATGGCTAGTATTATGACTACGATAATGATTTGGATTATCTAAAAAGTGGAATTTTGGGAATCATGGGCATACAATCAAGCTATTATTAACTCAATTATGGATATGAAATTGATAATGTTGATTTTAATCCAAATCAAAATGAAATCAATAGTGTTTACTAAACTATTGAGTTTCATCATATAATTTTATCTCATTTCAAAGATTCGTATCTATGTTTTGTAAGATTTTTAGAACTTCTTACTAAAAATATCTCAGATATCAGATACTCTGATTTCATTATTCTGTTACTCTATATTTACATTGCAGGATTACTATACTTCATTTTATATATAATATTCCACTACTTTTGGATAAAGAAGTCCAATAAATACATAAGATCACTAAAACTAAGCCTAGTTGTCATTCCCAATGAATAATTATTCAATAGCAGCATTATAAATATTTTAAGAAAGTTTGAATGAGTTAATTAAATTTATATTAATTATTATAACATTATATGTTTTTTTTAGCAGTTGGATTCTTCATGGGATTACCCCTAGGATTTTATTTTAGAGAGCACAATTTGTAACCACCTGTTGCTATAAATATGGAATCCATTAAAAAGGCTTTTGAAATATTTGCAGAAAAGGAAGACAAAGATGATGATTGATTATAATAAATATACCTTATTTATTTAAGGGGAAAATATATACATTTAAATTAAAATATCAGTTATCTATGATTTACATTAAATTCTAAAGTGAAGTTTAAATTGACAATGTTTTAACATGATTCAAAATAGCCATATATATAATTAATTCTTATAAAGAAAAATGATTTGTAAAAGTAAAAAGAATTGATGTAAATAAAATAGAATTTTTTCCTGCTTCCTTTTAAAATATCAGAACACTGTGAATAAATATAATAACTAACATTAGGACAAAAATGGAACCATTTTACAGAATATAATCTCTGCAAGACATAATAACTTGAAGTTGAATTAAGATAACTATCCTGAAAAATGGATATTAATAATTTATAAGAAAACAATATCATAATTCCAAGCCTATTTTTGGTGTGCTGGGCATAATTTCTGCTTTTGAATATCAATTATTTTATATTTTTCTGTATTAACCACCTATTAAAGAATAAGGTTAAAACTATTCGCCATCTTCTTTGGATAATACATTTAAATTTTGCTTATAATATTCAATGTTGATATTTTTTAACAATAAGAATGACTTAATTTTAGTAATTGAATGTATAAAGTATTTTGTGAAATTTGAAATAAACCTATATACCTCCAACTAATTGTTCTATTCGATTTTAATCTCTTGAATATATTAAAGTTGCTTAATCATAGCATTTTTATAGTAGTAACCGTAGATTGGTTAATCATTTATCTTGTTTGAATATACATTTCTCCATGTTTTTCGAATACTCCAATAGAGTCTATTCAATTCTAAAGTCGTTATCTGGTTTTGTTTGCATATACAAATACTAATTTATTTGCACTTTTTATATTATAATAACAATAAGTAAAATAAAATGGCAGACGATGGAGGTGCAGATGTAAATATGATGCTCTATATTATAAGAAAGGAGAATATATTGGAGAGGAAGTAGCCAAGGCAATTGACGACGGAATCAATGCTGTGTTCTAATTAAAAGAAGGGGAGAATCCTCCAGCCGCTTTAATTTATTCAAAAGAAAAGGTTATTAGTTGGAGCAATCAATTGTTGGACTACACAAATAGAAATTTGAGCAAATTAGACAAGCCATTCAAGTATTGTGTAAGTTGCATCATCTAATAAAACAATGATTCAAAATTTACAGTTGCACGTATTGATTCAATTATAATAAATAGTTGGTGCTAGTTTTGATACAAACACTGATGGTATATGTAGTGCATAAAGAGAAATCAATGACATTGTAATTATTATATCTGTATTTGCAATGTTAATATGAAATATATTAAGCATATTATGTCAATTTAAAATAAAGTATATAAAAGTCATTGGAAATAAATTCAAATGGCAGAGAGTCAATAAAAGACATTCAAGTTAACCAATTTTGTAATTTCTAAATAATAAATTTCTCTAAATTCAATAACATTGCCATAATTTCATTTTTATCAACTTTAATTAATTTCAATATTTAAATCCTAATCACCAAATAAGTATTGGTTATCAACACATGGTTGTTAAAAATTTAACATCTCTCTCCAAAATCAAATTATTTTGAAAAGAAATTCAATAATTCAATTAATTTTCGCCAATATAATATGAACTTTAACTTTGTTATTCCAAGCAAATCTTTCGTTCTAATTTTGTGATATTTAAATGAAATAAAATCTTGAATAATCCTTAAAAAAATAAATATTATGTCAATTCTTGATCCCGTCATCTATCCCCATCTGAAAGTGAGCGTGCCTTCATTTTTAATAAAAACTTACGAAATATTGGAAGTATTTTGACTATATCATCTTTAAGAATGAATCATTATCGAATCTCATATCCTGGAATAAGGAAGGAACAGCCTTTATTGTATACAATCCTCATGAGTTGTCATCAAAAGTTTTGGCCAACTATTTTAAACATAAAAATTATCCTAGCTTTCTAAGGTAAGAGAGCACATTTATGTAGATAACTAAACATGTACAATTTTAAAAAGACTAGAAATCAATATGGATCTAGTGAATTTAGACATAAGTGGTTCAGAAAGGGCTAAAAGTATAATTAAATTAATTCTTACCTTTAGAAACATGATCTAGTATATCAGACGTAGAAATCAAGAGGAATCAGATTTAAAAATAGAAACTTTAGAGTAAAAAAATCATGAGCTTGATTATTATAAATAAGAACATGAAAATATGAAAATTTTGCTCCAAGATCTTCACGAGAGTCATAAAAATATGCAATTGAATTTGTCTAAAACCATAGATTAGTCAAATACTTTAAATAGATAAAATTTTATCACTCTGCAAGTATGAAAAATACCTTAATTATAGACAATTCATTAAACATAATTAGAATTCAATAAAAAGTATGATTATGTGACCATCATGCTCACAAATGTCTTGGCCAATCTTCCAAACATATGTATGATTTATCAACTTAAAAATACAGTAACAAATTTCAAGGAGATAATCAAAGTGTGTTAGGAAGAGACGAATTTCCAACAGACTTTACTATCCTTAGAAAATGGAACGCCATCGCAATACCCTTAAATTTTACCCTACAATTAATACTAATTTTATACCCAAAAACAATAGCCATGTATTTTGTGTTGATATAAAATTTCAAGTTTATTTTTACGACTAGAAATAATTTTACTACAAAAATGCCCCCCAGCTAGCCATAACTGACGTGTAGAACAATTATTATTGTATTCTTCTTATTCAACTTAGCCCCAACAAGTTACTCAGTGTCAAACAGTCAACAAAATTCTCCATACAGAATCTAAAGCACCTCAAAACAATAGTATCTTTTAGATAAAGTAAATACAGATTAGGTATAAATTACTCTATTTTTAGTATAGTTTATATCAATAAGTATGATTTTATAATACATCATTTTGTTACTTAAAAATCATTAATATTCAAATTCCAGATTGATTAATCCAGTGTTTTTAGAGAGCTCAGCTAAAAATTATATTGTTATTGATTATCGAATCGTTGGTGGTTCTTCAATCTATGTTCTCTGGGTGGATCCAGCATGCTATGAATGGCTCATATCCTTAGGTTAATAAGATCTTCTATATTGCGGAGATCTGGCTCTATTATATTAAACAGAGTTGGGTGACTGTAAGGGTTGAACACTTTTTACTATTCTTTAGATCTAATAGGGTTCTATTTTATATTTTTAGGGGTTCATTTTTAATTTCTATTCCTACTCTTTCTAATTAAATGCTTTTAATGGAAATAGAAGGATTTCCTTAATGGGACTTCGAGCTCTCTTACTAACTTAATTATTTTTCTGAATTTATTTGATGTTTACAAATTCAACATCTTATATATCAGAGTACTAGATTTCTCTAATTAATATGATATCATCTGATTGACATATATGTTTTTATCTAAATATCAATTAATCATTGTTATCTAAAATGGATTTCCTGTTTTTTGTTTGTTCATAGTCTTAAATGATCTTTATATTTTGTTCTTGAATAATAATAAAATCAAGATGTCTTTTACTTCTGTTCCAAGCTTCCAATATATATTGACACACAGGTGATTCTAAATTACACTTCTTTTATTTCAGATCCAATAAATAAGTATCCAATTTTTAAGCAATCTAATTGCTTCTCTATTAAATCATGGTAACTACTTTTCTTGAATAGTCCTATCTAACAAATTACAGTATTTTGTTATTGATATAAAGTCGGTTGTATTCCTTGACAAACTATTCTCTATCATTATAACTCTAAATAAAGTTTTCTATTGAAATGATAAAAGTGCCAATATCCTCACATTGCAATAAAATGGGCTCTAAAAAGTTTATATAAGTCAGAACACATTTTATCAATGCTTTCGATCCATCAAGTAATAGTAAGTCTATAATTGTCTCACTCAGTTAATTGTGAAATGTAAAACAGCAAACCAACCATTAAATTGTAAATAAGCTTGTTTCAACCTACAATTTGTGCATATGACTAATTAACTACGGCCTTAAGATCAGTAAAAGATCCTTAATAATAAAATCATCGCATTAGACTCCATATAAATTATTGTAATAATTTGGTGGTAGGATGGTCTCAAATAAATGGCATAAAATCCAAAAGGTTTCCTAAAATTAGATCTAATTCATACCTCCTCATTGAAATGCTAAAGGAAATAATAAGCTATATAGTTAAATCCTTAGCAATACCCTACTTAAGCATTACGAACACTATACGCATTCAGAACTTTGCTCAATTTTTCTTTACACTCCTCATCCTAAGTTGTTCTATCTACATCCTTCTTGATAATTTCTTTAAATTGAGGTGGAAAATGCTAAATATTCTATAAATTCTAATAATAGCAAGGGTTGGAATTTTGATTATATTTTATATTTGATAACACTCTCCAAAATTGCTTCAAAGACTGACTTTAAACCTTTTCCCTTAAAACACATTTCAAGGCTGAATTCACACAACTATATGGATTAGTACAAATTCTCACTAACTACAATTTGATTCTTAAATTACCTCCTATTCCTCATCAAATAATTAAAAGTATTTGATTTATACATTAAGCAAAGATCCTTTTTTCTCATTCTTTTACATATCTCCTTTCATATTCTATATGAAGAGTTTGCTCTATAAAAAGTTTGTCATAATTTTAATTTGTTCATCTTTTTCTTTTATCATTATTAATAAAAATTTAAATCATATTTTCCCAAGCCATAATCATCAATCTTGTGAATTCAGTATTCATCATATTCGTTTTAAATTTAAAGAAATCACAAATTTTAATATGCAGCCTTGAACTTTTGATAGGCAAATTTATAAATTCATATTTTCTATTTTGTTATTATAATTATTATCTTTTGAATATCATCTACTTTATTTGATAATTTAACAACTATTTAAGGGTCTTTAATAGATTCATCAAATTCATTAATTTAGAGCATAAATTTGCTTTGTAATTTAGGATTCATTTTATTTACCAGTAGGCTGGTTTAAGATAACTTAAAAATTTGTAATTGAATGAGTTTTATTTCATTCCAGAGATAAATGAGGAGAATGAGTTAAATCCTTTTAGATAAAATTCACAACCTGAAACCACTATTGGATTTTTATACCATTAATTTCTTAGAAATGATATGTTCTTTTATAATTTGGACACTGCTGAATAAGAAAAATATAGATCGATTGTCTATAGGTATATTTCTTATTTCTTAAGGATAGTCATTTACAGGGAATGTAAAGCAGTATTATTAATTTTTGATTTTTCAAGAGAGAACTTTATGAAAATCATATTTCTTAAGATAATATTTAATTCCAAGTAAATCATACACATTTTAAAATAATCATGGATTTGGTGATCAGGAGGTAATAGAAAGCGGGGAACAGAAACCTTAGAATGTTGTGGATGACATTCAAAATGATAGATAATTTTGTTTGTTTCTATTTTGGAGTATCAGATAAACCGATTTTTCATCATAATTATTTTTATTATTATATAATAATTTTTGAAAATTACAAAAATATCAAGAAGTTACTTGAGAATAGTAATATTTTAAATAATTTATAGAATCAAGCAGTATAGTTTTTCTTTTTAATATAGAGATTATAAATTTAGAGTTTTTACCCTATTGTTTTTGAGGCATTTTGCCGCTCCCAATTAATGCTTTCATAATGTGTTGAACAATTTTATAAAAAGCCTGTTCTAATTTAGCTGTAGAATTATTCTAAGACTTCTTATTGTGCTTTAATGTCGATTTCAATTAGGTCAGGCGACTTTTATTGATTACAGATTTGCTTAGCACATTGTTTTAACAAGGCGATAAATTCATAAAATGGCTAAATTAGATCTATCTTTTCTACTATAGGCTATTTGATTTTAAACATCGATTAAATATAACTGCTGCGCCAACTGAAATAACTATCTTTCCACCATTGCTCCTATTTATTTATTAATGTATTAACTGCTAATAATACTTCAATGGAGACCTAGGGAATTGGTAATAAAAATTACTTAGACCAGTTGAGCTTGATAGTAATGAAAAAGTTCGACAGAATTTTCATTGAAACTAATTTAAAGTTCTTAGGCTCCCAAGGAAACTTCTATTAATTGTTTCAGCAAATAAATTAATTGGATGGCTGCATCAGTTTCTGGATTAAAGTTCCTTATCAAAATAATAGTTTTGTTGTTTAAAATAGTTTTAACTTCATTAATTGCTACCCAAGTTTTACCCTCATTTACAATTCTATTTTTGTCTATATGCTTTGATAAAAAAGCTGATAAATCTGGGAAATTTAATTTTTCTAAACTAATCTAATCGAAAAAGTAAATCAACTCCCTTATGGTAGTAAATTAAGAACTGATAGTAGTTTAATCTTTTTTTTTGACTGGATTACTCGTATGTTTTTAAGATTAACAAGTTCCCATATTAATAAAAATAAATAAATTTTTGAATATTATAGTATGTCTATAATTCAACTATAATAAAATAGAAAAATCATTTTTATTGATTGTGTGACCATTTCCTTGCAAATAGAAACGGATCATTTTGATGTTTAACATTATCTTAAAGAATATCAATCAATGTTTCGAAATCTGAGTTCTATTCTTTCAGAATTATTTGACTCATTAGACTCACCAAATACATACTCAATAATTTACCCTAATCTTCCAACAAAGAGTTGAAGAAGATTTAAAAGGTGTTGTCCAATGTAAAATTTAAACTAAACTGCACCTTCTCATAGTAATTATTCAATTAATCAATCCATTGATTCAATTGATCTCTGATTGATTTGGGTGCGAAAGAATAGAAGGCTTTTGCCTTAATAGCCAACAGCTTTCTAAATAGAAAATTGCATTTTTATTTCTATTCAGTTGAACACTCCATGGTTTTAATTAGGTTATCCAGAAACAAACAAAAGTTATAGGTAGGTAAAACTATGGCTGGCAATTAAGAGGATTGCATTTTGAATCTCAATTTTGTTTGTTTGCCATTACTATTACTATTACTATTAGTGTTATTATTATTATTGGTAGAAAATGAGCATTAGGTTGAGTATTAACCGATTTACTCGTGATTATCATGGAGGTATTTCTTAGCAGAAGTATGAGAGATCAATTTTGGATGATCCTCGTTTAGGTTGAAGTCAGAAACGCGATTATGTTTGTTTTGGTCATCTAAAAATTTATTTAAACTCAGCATTTTTACTGAAGCAAAAGTTTAGGCTTTATTGTGAGATTACACTTTCTTCTGATACTTTTATCTTTAACTCTCCATAGTTGGCTTGTGTTTTGGCGTTGATAATGGAGAATTGGGATTGGATTGAACAAAATTATATGATAATTTAATAAATTGCTATTGAATTCTTGGTGATACATGTTCTATTTCTTTTTATGAGAGATATGATATAATCTGGTTAATATTCTCTCTTGCATTAGGATCTACTTGTAGCATTCCGAACAGTAGTTATTTAACTAAGCCTTAATATAAAAGATCTAATTTTTGACAATTTTTCAGTATTTCCTCATGAAAAGTTCTTATATCAGATTTGTATGGTGGTATGCAGTTAAAGAGCATCTCGTATGACATTATTCCCAAAGCCCATATGTCACTCTTCTCTGAATATTGGTTGGTCGATAGAATTTCTGGAGCCATGTAGAGTGGAGTGCCCACATTGAATCTCTTGATGATGCTTTCGAATTGATCTTCAATTAATGCAAACCCAAAGTCAGCTAGTTTGTAGGTGTTCTCATGGATTAGTATGTTGGCAGGCTTCAGGTCTCTGTGTATGATTTCTACAAGTAAATTATTTTTTGTTACTTTTTTCGTGGAGAGCCTGTATTCCTAAAGTGATCTACCGTAAAATTGACAAGACTTTAGGGACTGAGAATTCAGTTTTTTTCATTTGTTGTTCCAGATTGCCTCCGTTACAAAATTCTGTTACTATGTATGTATTATTGGCACTTTGACTTACTTCATAGACCTTCATTAAATGGGGATGATCGATTCTCAGGAGTATGGATATTTCATTTTTTAGTAAGGATTTTTAAATTGGGGAGGTATAGGTCTGAGAACTAATGACTTTAATTGCCACTATTTATTTGGTTTTTAAATGTTCTCCCAAATATACTTTGGAGGAATATCCAGATCCGATTTCCTTATTCAAATCTAGAATGTAATCGCCCACTTGTTTTATTTTCGGTTCATTTTGGGTGTTCATGTATTAAATAAAAGTTTTCGGTATAAGATTTATAAATTATATTTTTTAATTAAGAAACATTAACTTAAGAATAGAGAATATATAACATTAGTTACAATTTTGTCTATTAAATTGAAACCCAGTTGAAATGACGAGAATGCTCCTCTGCATTTTTTAGGAGGGACAATTACAGTCAATTTTTTATTGTTACGTTGTGCATCCATAAATATTCAAGTACAGTTTGACTAATTAAAAAACCTTTTGATTGCTACATTATGATAATAATTAAGCTTTGACTTAATTAAATTTATAGATCATAATTGCAATTTAAAAAGGATATATGATTTATTATTATTTTACTCAAAAAGAATAATAGCATGGGCTCGTGCAATGGCCAACCTAAGAGAGTAGTTACTTCTAAAAGAGAGAGTCTGACCACTTTTCATAAGACTTAAGAAATTTCTACAATAAAATCGAACAAAAGTCTTGTGAAATAGAGAACAGATTTTAGGGTTGCTCCCAGCATATTCGTGTCCTTAAAGAGTGGAGATATTTCTCAATACTATGAAATAGAATCTACTTTAGGGGAAGGTTGTAAGTTTTTTGATATCTTTGAAGGAACCTTTGGAAGAGTTAGTTTGGTTAGGTAAAAATCGACCAATATAAGTCGCGCAATGAAACAAATAGCTAAAGACAAAATCTTGGCCTGCCAACGAGAAAGGATGATTCAGGAAGTCAACATTCTGAAAGATCTTGATCATCCGAATATCGTGAATATTTTTGAGCTTTACTAAGATGAACGCTACTATTACTTGATAACTGAGTAAATAGAGATGATTAACCAAGATATTTAAGTGGAGGGGAGTTGTTTGATAGAATCTAATAAAGGAACAATCTAAATGAGAGTATGGCTGCAAATTATATGAAATAAATATTAAATGCTGTGAATTACTGTCATCACAGAAACATAGTTCATAGGTAATATTGCACACAATCATTTAGGGATTTGAAACCAGAAAACATTCTATTTGATTAAAGAGGATCTGATTAGATACTCAAAATCATTGATTTTGGAACAGCCAAATAGATTCTGTCAAACACAAAATTGAAATAAAAAACTGGAACACCCTATTTCATAGCTCCTGAGGTTATTGACTAAAACTACAACAGCAAATGTGATGTTTGGTCTTGTGGAGTAATATTGTACATAATGATGTGTGGAAAACCACCATTTAAAGGAAATAATGTGGATGAATTATATCGAAATATTAAAAATGGGTATGTAGATTTTACTGGTAATTTGCAATATAATAGTGATGTATAGGTTCTGAATGGCGTGATGTTTCATAAGATGCTAAGTCTTTTATCTCGAAACTCTTAGTTGTAGATCCTGCCAAGAGAATGTCAGCTGAGTAGGCTTTAAAGGATACTTGGATTGTGAGCAATAAAAAAGTAGAAAAAATCAATGCTTAAAATCTTGAAAATCTTTCTTAATTTCATGTATTTTGACTGCATTCATTTTTGTAGAATAGTAGCAAATTGTGTTCTGCTATCTTGCAGCTGATATCAACACAGATAATGACTTAGAAGGAGAAGAAGGAATTAATCAAAGGATTTAGTGCTATCGACAAAAATGGTGATGGTACTTTAAGTAAGGATGAATTAATTTAATGTAATACAAGCAAATTTAATTTAGGTTACATGGACTTGTACCAAGATGAAGTCAAGTGTAATCAGATAGTTAATTAGATCTTTAAACACTCTGATGTGGATTGTTCAGGAACAATAGAATACACAGGTAATGACATAATAGTAATAGTGAGAGTTCATTGTAGCCTTTTCTGAGCTGCAGAATTTGATGGCTTAAGAGAAACTTTAACAAGCTTTTAAGCTATTTGACAAGGACGGAAATGGGACTATAAGCAAAGGAGAACTTCAAGAGATATTTGGAGGATTGGCTTTGAATGAGAATTAGTGGAACAGCATATTTTCTGAATTGGACACTAATGGAGATGGAGTGGTGACTTTCTAAGAATTCACTTAGTTATTGATGAAAGATAGCAATAAATGAAAACTTGGAGATTAAATTATTTTCTTTAATAATATTTAATATATTAATGTAAGATCTGAGGTGTGCGATTGCAGATCATAACAAAAAAAGGTTTGTTTCTATTACTCTACAAAAAGTAGCTGAGAAAAGACTATTCTGTTTTCAATGTTAAAGTGACGCTAGTGGTGGTGACATTACAAAATCACAATTAGTAAGCTAACTTAAACTATGCGATTTGGATGAAGTCATGGAAGGAAATGCTTATTCTGTGTATAATTGGCCAGCTGACGATGACGGTGCTAAGATAAAGGAATACCTGCTTGGATATAAGGTAATTGTGAAGTGTAACTTTTTTAGAGCATAGAATTATAGAGGAAGGACATCGAAGATTTCTTTATGCAGATGAAATAAAAATTGAATGAACAAGTTGAGAATGTGAAACAACTCTTGGTGGAATCACTCTATGCAACATAATTCATCAAAGATGAAAAACTTAAATAAGAGGAGCCAGAAAAGAAGGACGCCAAAAAAGATGACAAGAAGGAGACAAAGAAGGATGATAAGAAGGAAACCAAAAAGGACGATAAGAAAGATACAAAAAAGGATGACAAAAAGGAAGACAAGAAAGATCTTAAGAAAGAAGGTACTTTTGACCCTTATATCAAATAGAGGAGAAATTAGATTAAACACCTTCAATTGAAAATCTGAAGAAACATTATGATGTCATCTATGATCTTACTAAAATCAAGACACTCATCAAAGAAAATGCAAAGAGTGATCCAAATCTCTTGAGTGCTAAAATCAATGAATACTTAAATGATCCAAAAAGATCTGATTAGATCATTAGCATGAAAAAAGTGTTTCAAGGAGTCATGTCTGGAAAAGTTGAGTTTAATTAGATAGCATCCAATAGACAAGCCTTAGAAAGCTATGGGGAATAAATTTAAACTAGCATATAACAATGGACTGTATTCAATTTATTTATAACGAAATTAGCGTAAATTTGGAAGAGTTCAATGGAAATTCACTCCGTCAAAGGCAGATTAGTCTAATTTGATTAAACAATTGGCAGAAGATTATAAAGAATGTGCTGGAGCTGGATTACAATCATAAATTATATATTCTGAGACTAGTTTTAGTGAGGGTCAACATGGTTGCATCATCATATTTAAAGAATTCGATCAAAAGAGAGCTGGATCAAATGGAAATTTCTTTGTAGGAGTTGTACAAGATGATTCAAAAGACAAATCTCCATATGGCAAGGGGTTCAGAAAAGATTTATTTAGTCAAAATGGAGAAGGATTGAATGTAAGAATCGGAACTGATTTCAACAATGTATTTAAAGTAATGTTCATTGCATAAAAGTTAGATGCCTCCGAAACTGTTGGCAATCAAATTGGATGTGGATAACAATTACTTTGAAGTCTGCGATGGTAAACGGACAATAGTTTATGGATTGGATAAAGAGAGCAAATTGAAGGGGGATAAGTGGAGAATCTATTTCTGGTGGAATATTGCAGCTGACAGAATCTAATTAATTCACAGTTATTGAGCCAAGTTTATTTTATTAACGAAATAATATAGTTTTAAATTTATTCAAACCGTCAATAACTACATCGAATATGTTCAAGTAATCCAAATAAGTAAGTGCGCAATCATAGATTCCATAAAATACACTCAATAAGCAATTAAATACGCAAACCTCTCCAACCCTTAAACCAAAGATTGAATCAGTGTCCACAATCTAAAAACCCCTCCAAAATTTATCCAACGTTCCAACTCGTACATAGGAAGACTAAATTAAGAGAACTTAACCCAGATCTCCTGTAAGATAGACTTTTGAGAAGAAAACATTGGAAAATAAATCATGCATTTCAAATTTTGATGAGAAGCCAGTTCCCAAGATTCTTCAAAGAGGCAAATCTCCCTAATCCAATTAAACTGCAAGAAATACTAAAGCTCAGGATCAGTAGTGTTCATAACCTGAAAAGCAGTCTACATAATAAAAGTAACCAATTTAATTCAAATCAAATCAACCAGATTAACTACCTACTAATTAGTCGAATACTGAGAAAACATAACCCAATGTCAGTAATAAACAATAGACTCTAACTTAATAAAAATAACAAACCAAGCTTTAACTTTAATCAAATCAACTGAAATCTTAAAATAATTAATAATAATAATAATAATAATAATAATAATAATAATAATAATAATAATAATAATAATAATAATAATAATCAATTAGACCAAAAACAGCTACAACATCTTAATTATAATTGAAATAAACAGTTCAATAGGATTAATAGCTTAAATCTACTAAATAGGATTTATCATCAAGACCAAATACTTAATCAACCAAGTCATAGTTAAATGTTAATAAAAAATAGGAAGTTCCTAATAAAACAAGATAGCAACCAATGTTGAAGGGGGAATAGGTTGTGGAAGAGAAACTCTATTAATGTCCAGAGGGATGCGGGAGGTCATTCAATGCCAAGGCTTTGGAAAAGCATTCGAAGGTAAATTGAGGATTGATAAATATATATATAGATTTGTAAGAAGGTGTTCCAATAGAAGAGGAAGGTGTTCAATTCATAGAAGCAGAGACAAATCGAGGCTGAAGATAATGGACAAGGGAGGGGAGGGGCCATGAAAAGGCAGGTGCAGAAACAGCCACAGAAATAAGGTTAAAAGTAGTAGTAGTAGGTGAAAAGTGAGAAACCAAAATGGAAAGCTCAGAGTGAAGCATTCAGGGCTATAATCAGGTAGGCCAAAGGACAGCGATTGACAAAGGAGGAGTAGGCATCTTTGAGTGGGGCGATGGAGAGTGCTTAGGATTTGGTGTAATGCAAGTTTTGCAACAGGAAGTTTAATGCAGAGGCGGCCAAGAAACATATAGTATTTTGTGAGACAAAAGCGAAATAGTGTGGAAAGAGTGGGGTGTAAAAGAAAAAGAAATGATTATTTTAATTTTTAACAACTTATGAGAGGGAAGATTACTTAATAAAATAACATTTCATTTGAAATAAAAATGCGTTATCCAATGACAAATAAACACTCGTCTCCGTCAGGTTCACCGCGGAAGAGGTTATTTTCAGCAAAAAGAGTGGGAAGTAAGGAATAGCAATAACAGAAATGCAAAGCTACTGCATCTATAAAGACTGGATCGTCAATCGAAACATTAAAGGAAGTCCTGATGAAACAAACACAAATGAGTAATAAGCATACAAACAACTTGAATTATTTTGTTCACAATAACAAAAGGGAGAGTTAAAACAAATTGGATACAAAAACAAGTGATTCTACAGAACGAGTAAATATACGACAGGGTACTTTGTCCAAAGAAAAAACAACCATTTCGGAATTGACAACAAAAAAAACAAGTATAACTAAAAGTGAGTTTGAATGGAATAAATGTTAATTGCCACTGACACCCTAAGTTTGTTTGGCAAAATACGGATACGCATTGACAGAGTTTGAGAAGACTGAGATTCTGACATTCAAGAGAGTATGATTTGTTATGTATGATTAGATTTATTGTATAGGAATTAATGCCAAAAAAATATAGTAATCCCAAAGTAATTTCAATGATGGATTCGACAATGCCTAAGGAGAATACCTATACGCATTGCATGATCACATAGGTTATAGATACGAATTGTTGGAACATGTAGGTTCTGGTAGCTTTGGACAGGCATTCAAAGTCTTTGACCATAAGAGACAGTAAGTTCTCTGTCTAAAAGTCATCAGAAATCAAAAGAAGTTCTAGAACTAGGCCCTTGTGGAATTAAACATCTTGTCTTTTATCAGAGACAAAGATGAGGAAAACATTACCAACATAGTCAAAATCAAGGACTTTGTGATCTTCAGAAATCACGTGGTAAGAACTATTAATCTACATATTTATAGTGTATCATTTGCGAACTCTTGTCACTTAATTTGTACGAACTCATTAAAAACAATAATTACCAGGGGTTATCACTAGAACTTATTCGTAGATTTGCCATTTAAATACTCAATGCCCTCAATTTTCTGTACAAACATAAGATTATTCATTGCGATCTCAAACCAGAGAATATACTATTAAAATAACCCAACAAGAGTGGAATCAAGATTATTGATTTTGGCAGCAGTTGCTTTGAAAATGAAAGAATCTATAGTTACATCTAATCCAGATATTACAGAGCTCCTGAAGTCATTTTTGGCATTCCATATGATATGGGAATAGACATGTGGAGTTTTGGATGTATTATGGCTGAATTGTACATTGGTTATCCTATCTTTCCTGGTGAGAATGAATAGGAATAAATTGCTTATATTATGGAAGTGAAGGGACTCCCTGATCAAACCCTAATTGAGGTATAATCTATTATTAAATATGTCTTAGAAAGCCTCCAGAAAGAAACACTTTTTCACGACTAGCACTCCTTATTAACCATTGCCCTATAAGAACAAGAGAGGAAAAATTAGAGTTCCAAAATCAAAAGACTTGAAGTAGATCTTGAAATGTCAAGACCAATTGTTTATTGATTTTCTAGATAATTGCTTTAATTGGGATCCTTAAAAAAGAATGAAACCCATTGATGCCTTGATGCACTAATGGATTTTGGAGGGATTACCAAAAGAAATTAGAACATAACATATTAAATATTTGGAATCAGAGTAGATGACTTAAAAAGTATTCTTCAAAAATAATGAAACTAAACGACAACATCACATCTCTGAACCAGAAATGGAAAAGAAGAAATCTAGTAGTAGTTATAGTTAAAAAAAATCTAAGGAAAAGGATATTAATCTCACTCTCTATGGGAATATCAATAATGAAACTACTCCATAAAATAAACGCATTTTATCGTAATCATTTCATACATCCAAAAATGGAAGTAATTAAAAGTATTAACAATATTTTCCTGGCACAACCAAAAATTAACCATTAAAATATAAATTTTATTGAATTTATCTATATATCTATCAATGTTTTAACACTTATAAGAAATTTAACATCTACAATAAAAAGGGTATTCTACCATATTTGTTTAATATTAATTTTTTATGTTAATTGATTCTAATTTTGTTTTAACTAGTAGAAGAATAGTTAAAATCTTTAAGCAAGTTGTTAAAAATTACTTCACATATTCATATCTAAATTCTAGAAGGATATTTTGATTCTACCTTTAACAAAATTGATTGAAACCCTATCATTTTTATGAATTTGATTAAAAGAACAATTTACAAATGTCTATCCATAAATTTAATTCAGAATAGAATCTAACTTAAGATATAGTATATTGAATCATAGTCTATCAATTTTGAGGAATTTTTAATTAAGAATTAAAATAAAAGTTAATTCAAATAATACGGCTTATCAATTTGGATTAGTTTAAGAATATTACAATAAATAGAAAGTTAATAGATTTAGGATATGATTTAAAATAATCTAATTAAAATGATTGATAATTTCAGAGTCTCCTTATTTATTTTTTATAAAAGAGTTCAAAAAACACACTTGCTCCAAATCCCCCTCCTAATGGACCACCAACGAATACCCACAAAAATTCCATTCTCTACCTGTCTCCTGTTTAAAATGATTAAAAGAGTTACAAGGATACTGCCATCCCGGGGTTCAAACAACCTTTAGTAGATTCAAAATTTGTATTGTACCTCCAGAATGAAATGTAAATCCTCTTGAAAAATACAACGCCAACGCTACTAGAACATAAGTTGTCATTGGTTATCCTCCAGGCGTTAACGTTGTTTCTGAATCTGTTTGTATTAGAATAAAAAGAATAAAGGTGAATGCTCCAAATGCCTCACCACTTACATCCGATAATATCCAACTGTATTCTTAACTCTTCACTTAAGGACTGTCAACCTCATTCAATATTAGGTAGCAACAACACGCCCCACATAAAGCCCCAGTAAATTGGGCCAACCAATATAGCACTGCTTATCCAAAATTGATTCTTCTTGAAAGTAGCATTGCCAAAGTAACAGCAGGGTTAACGTGTGCTCCTGAAAATGGTGCAGCCAAACACACAGAAGCAAAGAAAAATAAAGCCAAAAATTCATCTGACCCTTATGAGCATATGATTCTATGAATAAGAATTGGCTGATTACCCATAAGCAAATAATGCCATTCCAAAGAACTCAAAAAGGAAAATCCGCATCTCCTCCTTTGATTTTCCTTGTGTTGGAATGATATTTTTAATATCTGACTCCTAAGGTGTAAATTATGTTCGTTTAATAATTTTAGTGTCTTGACTCATAATAAAAAAATATACGTAATTAAATTTATTTATAACAATAACCTTTAAAAGTAGTATATCCATCTATGATTTTAATATAGAAAAATTAAGAAATCACTATTTTTTTATGTGGATAATCAACTAATGATTTCTAAACTTACACCCAATCTTAAGATTCCAATATTGAGAATGTTCCATAAAATACTCAAGGACCATAAAATATGTTTCAACTTGGAAATATTCAATAATGAGTATTAAATTATGATTTTTACCAAATATTTCATATCGCATTCATACTGTCCTTGTAAATTCAAAATCAATTAATTTGATATTGAAATTAAAGAATTTCTAAGAATTATTTAATTATTTTTTTTATTTATTAAGCTCAAAATTGATGAAAATCCAAAAGTTAAATGTACTAATTATTCACTACCTTTCAAGCTTTGCCTATTGCCAATTTAAGATACTTCAATATTTTTTTAAAAACCTATTTAAATATCACCACCTTCGACTCCAGAAGAAATCTACAGAATTTAACCTAAGTCTAGTCGCAGCACTCTTCACAGCAAGAACACTAATGTGCCATCAGGTAACTCAAACTCATAAAGGATTCTTCAATAAAACATTAGTTTTCATCTACCTAAATTTCCAAAAAGTATTTCTCCATAAAAATTATGTGAATAATACAAATCTCCTTTTAGATTAAAGGGATATACCTACAATAATATTGAAAGCCCTATTTCAATACGTGTACCTAATAGAAGAGCAACTAAGTTATGCTCTAAGGTTTTGTAAAAGTATAAGAAAAAGTATTGTGTATGATTCTATTAAACTACTTTATTTAATATTTGTGATTTATAATGACTTTTAATATTTCCTAAGAATTCAATGCAAGTGAAATTTCTTTCTCTTTTTTCTAATCTTTGTAAAGGAAAAGTAAGACTGATTAAAAAATATTCATTATTTATTAAAATGTAGTTACATATTCAATAATCACTTTTGAAATATTTTGAATCGAAAAAGTAATCAGGAGTAATCAATAATTGAAGAGGATTATGAGACGTAAATGGGAATATATTTAAAATAATAACTTTTGATTAAACTCATAGGAATCTTTATATTTTAATTTCTTTGATATTTCTAAATGAATTCAGTTCTTTTTTCATAACATTCTCTGTCTTCCTCACCTGTATAATCAATTTATCAATTTCAGCCTTGTTAATTTATAAACTTATACCCAATAAGACACAACAAATATTTATAAGTAGAATCATCATGAAATCTTCGTAGATATTAGATTAAAAATATTTATTAAAAGGAACTAAAAATTATAAATTAAATTTTTAATTCCTTAATTTTCTCTTTAAAATTGAAATTAATTGTTCTATTTGATCAAGGGAATTCCATTTATTTTCAGTATATAACAATGTTAAGAATGATCTTTACTAATTTATAATTAATTATTCATATATTTAAATCAAATAATAAAATCACTCGTTTTTGAGAATTTCTAAATGTTATTGAGTTTTATCCTATTTAAAAAAAAAATCTATAGCTAAGATAACTATTGCTAAGATGAACAGCACAGCAAACGGTAGGTATGGGTCTATAAAATAGAGCGGAATCAATAGGTATGGCGAAGGAAGTACAGCTATTTTACCTACTGCTTGTGCTATTCCCTAGCCTTAAGATCTGATTTTAACTGGGTAGCTTTCACAACAAATTATACATATAGTTGCAAATAACCCTCTTGTCGCAATTTTTGTCAAGAATAAAGCTAAATATAGATATTTATCCCTAAATAGGTATAAAATGGCATTTGAAAATGTTAAAGTTATTGCTGAATATGCAATAATTTTGATTCTTCCTCCATATTTAGCATCATCTATAATGTTGTAAAGGATGGATCCAAATATAAATTCTATTATGTATAGAGCAAGCATTGGAAGAAATCCAGAATGATTATTTTGTAATAGAAATGGTAAGAGCAAGAAGATTGTCATTTCTTAAAAATTAGTTAAAATATACAAAATCCATAAGAGAATAGTTACTTTTCTATATTCTTATGATAGAATGCCATATATGTTTATTTCTTCCTATTAAAGTTCAACCTTTTATTACTTAGACCAACTTATTAACCCATTTTTCTTTATTATTAAACAAATATACTTCAGAATCACATAATAATAAGTCTGTATTGCCATTTATTGTAATTTATTAATCGATTAAGTTAAGAGCTATTTCATATTCTCCCTTACTCAAATGTGATCTAATTGTTTCAGTCAAATACAGAATAGACAAGATGAATGCAATCGTTATTGGAATTCCATTAAATCTAATGAGTCCCCTCCAATTCCCTGAAGTGTAATCATCCAAAAAGATAAAACATAAAATCACAAAGTAGATTTTGCCTAAAATATAAATCAATGTGAGAGCATAAGAAAATCTCCCTCGATATTTCGCTTCAGTAATTTCTGTTACATAAACATAACCAAGAGGATTAAGTGTACCAAAGGTTAATCCATATAAAAATCTTAGAATTATCATTTCCTTGTAACTATCACAAAAACTAGTATAGAATATCAAAATAACAGATAATCCAGAGAAAATAATGAATGTTATCTATCTCCCTATTATGTCAGCCAGAAAAGCACATAAAAAATTGCCCAAAACAATCCCAAATAGAAATATTGAGCTTAATAGTGCTACTTGATTTTATGATAAATTCCATTCTTCTTTTAGTATGGTCATAAGGATTGACATAAATAGATATTCAAGACCTGCACAAAACTCCTGTAGTCCTATAATGGAAAGAGTTCTTGCTTAATACCACCCTGTTTTAATATTTTTTTCAAGTATCTCATCAAAAGAAATCATTCTGATAAAATAATTAATTAAGAAAAAAACACATAAATATATTCATTCATCTTTTAAAGTTTCTAAGTGCTTGAGTGTTTTATCTTTATCAAAAACACAAGCAAACATCAAAATTAAAACTGACAATAAAGCCATCAATAAAAAAGGCAAATATGGATCAAAGAATAGTAAAGGAACCAACAAATATGGAGAAGGGATCACCCCTATTTTGCCTACTGCCTATGCTATTCCACACCCTTATGACCTTAGATACAAAGGGTAACTTTCACAAGCTAAAATGCTAATAGTTGAAAACAACCCTCTTGTTGCAATTTTAATAATAAACAAACCAACATAGAGAAATGATTCTTAATATATGTAGAGTAAAACGTTGGATAATAATAAAGCAAATCCTGAATAAGCGATTATTTTTATCCTATTGCCATAATGAGGATTGTCAATAAAATAATAGATGATGATTGAGAAGCAGAATTCAAAACTAAACAAAATTAGCATAGAACTAAACCCTGAATTTTTACGGGCTAACAAAAATGGCATCAAAAGATAAATAGTCATGCTTTAGAAGTTAGCCAAGATAAAGATTAGCCAGAGTAAAAGGGTAATTGTTCTGTATTCAGAAGAGAATATCCCATATTTGTGCAATTGCTATTCTTGAAATTCAGCTTTTTGTTTTTCTTACCAATTTTATAACCCTTTTTTCTATAATAATATTTTTTTATAGGTTACTTCTTCTTCATCTAATAGGTGTTCCTCCCTTCCATTTTCTTCTAAAATGGTTTCTATTTCTTTGAATGCCTAATCAAACTTTCCTTAGTTCAATTAATATCTGATAGTTTCTTTTAAAAATAAAAATGAAAGCACTGAGGCAATACTCAATGGCACTACATTAAAAAGCATTAAACCTTCCCAGTTCCCAGCTTCAAAACTGTCTAAAAATGCAAAGCAAAGAATTATCAAGAATATTTTCCCCAAAACAAATAGAAGTGAAAGAGACATGCTAAATCGGCCTCGAAATTTCGCTTCAGTTATTTCTGAGAGGATTATGAACCCTAATTGATAGGTTATCCCGAATATCATTCCAAAGAACAATCTTAAAAGGATCATTTCTATATATGCTTTAGTAAAACTTATTTTAAAACATAAAAACGTACTAATTGCTGTAGAAAATGCAAAAGTCGTTTTTCTACCAATTTTATCGACAAGAAAAGCAGAAAGTATGTTCCCTAACACTATTCCTAACAAATAGGATGACCCAATGTTAGAAGTCTGGGATGAAGTTAAATTCCATTCAGATTTAAGGATTGCCATCATAATTGACATAAATGTGAAAAGTATACCATTACAAAACTCAACTAATCCTACTATTGAAATGGTTTTGAATTGGTAAAACCCAGTCCCTATTTTCTTTTCTAGTATTTAATCAAATGATATCATAATATATATAATTTTTTAATAATCAGAAATTTAATTAAGAATCTACAATGGATGAATGAATGTTGCGACTATGATCTAGAGCAGCAAAATACAGTAAAATTAGTCTTAGTGATTGAACTTTCAATTTTCATAAGAATTCTATAAATTACAGTAATTATAGGACTAAAATATTTAATAATTACTTATGCTTATCATATATTAGGTAGAAGAGTTGAATGGAAGAAAACATTATTTTTCATCCCAAAATAAAAATTATGTTTAATTTTACATTTAGTTAAGAACTAATCAAATATTATTTATATTTATATAAATAAAAAATTAAATAGTAATTTTTTATAGGAATAAAAAACATCTACACTTTCTATAGATATTTGTTTTTCTGGGGAAATTACTAATAAAATACTTTTCTTCTTCCCCAATTATTTCATTTTCACCTCCTTAAATTTTATTGAATGATTGTTTATGCAGTTGAACTCTTTATTGTCAAATTTATTACTTTAATAAAGAGAATTTCTGAGTTTATATAATTTCTAACATATTTGCCTTCTAAATTTACTGATTTTTTATTCCTATTTTACTATTTTTGTTTATTAATATCAAAAGAATACTTATGGTACTTAGACAAAATTAGATATTTTCTAAATGAAGCTATTTTGAGTTCTATTGACATGATTCTAGTCCTGCATGTTAAAGTCTAAAAAATAAATCTAATTTTGCAATTCAATTATTTATTTCAAAGCAAGCTTTTCACTGTTTTGATTATTATTAGCATTTATTTATCATTTTTTGAAGTAATCTGGCTAATATTTAATCACATTTTGTTAATCAAGATGAATTTCCTATATACTTCACTTTTGTATATTTGGGTATCTTTTTCAATTATTACAAATTTTAATTTAAATAAAGAAGTATTTCTTGATTAATTATTGATGTTTCAATTCATACTTTCAAATCTCATTTGGGTTTTAATTTAGATACTTCAAAATGCTTTGTTTGAAATTAGAAATTGCTGGGAGTATACAAAAAATAGGAAACTCATCGATTTTAGGGTATCATTAAGAAAAATAGATTCATACTTTGTTTTGGAGAAGAGCAATAAATACACTTTTAATATCTTGATTAGAAGACGTCATTTTATTAATTTGATTGTGTTTTCTTTATGACTTATAATATATATCAAATTATTAATATATGTCTTAAGTCCATGGGAGTTCATTATTGAGCAAAGACAACCCAAACAAGGCTCCTGATCATTTGGGGTCAAATGTCTTTACAGACTTGCTATCATCTACATTTTATACAGTGATTGGCTATGTTTGCTTAGATGTTGTATTTGGGATCAGCTTACATTTTATAGCTTAACACAATGATCCAAATGCAGTGGCAGGTTTAGGGTTAGCATTTACAACAGTGAATGTGCTGTTGATTCCTATGGCTTTGGGTATTAAATTATTGTGAAAAAAGGAACAAATTAATCTTTGAATGTGCATTCAGCATAGGCTTTGGGAGCTAAGAAGCCAAAGCTGGCTCAAAGTTATTTTACATTGACCATCTTTATCCATTTGATGTACTTTATTCCATTTTCAAGTACTAGAATTAAGTTAATCAAATAGTAATATTGATTTTGATAAAACCTTTGGTTGCTTAGACGATTAATGAAGATGATAGAGATGCTACATCGGATGCCTCCCAGATATATTTATATTATTTATTACCTTCAACTTTGTTTGCCATATTATACGAATGCATGAAAAGCTACATGATAGCAAATAAGGTAATATTATCAATTAAAGAACTAGATCTTCGCAGTCTTTATGTTTATACAGTTGGGGACAGCTGCTCTTCACACTTTATGGTGTTATTTGTTTATTGATTATTTAGACATTGGTGGTGGCATTGCAGGTGCAGGACTGGCTATTATATGCACAGAGGTTCTGAATTGTGTATTTTGTCTAATAGCTATATGTGCAACCAAGTACAAAAAGCAAGTCTTTAGTGGCTATAAATTTAAATTCTCAATGAAAAAAACAGAGAAGAAATTGTTCTAAAGTTTTCTAAGAGAATCAATACCAATTATAGGTCATATATATGCAGATTTCTTTGTTTTCTTCTTATTGAATTTCATCTCAGTAGGATTTGGATCTGATGAATTGAATGCCTAATTGGCATTGTCCAACACTTCAAATTTTTACTATAAATTTCCCATCTCTCTGTCTTTAGCATTAATGACATACGTTGGTAATGAGATGGGTGCCAAGAATATCAAGAAAGCCAAAAGATATTCATGGGTAGGAGTCCTTCTATTTATTGGATTTACAATACTCTTCTTGAGTGCCTTAACAATTTTCAAGTAATCATGGGCTGAATTCTATTCTGCTGGGAGATAAGAAATCACAGATCTGATTTTGGATGTGTATCCTATCTTCGTTTTTGGATTCTTTGTTATTGATGGATTACAAGGAACACTGACTGGAATCTTAAAAGGAATAGAAAGAAAGGATTTTGTCACTTACTCTACATTGTTTGTATACTACCTAATTGGAATACCACTGGTTGTGTTTTTTGCTTATGACTTTGGATTGGGAAAGAAAGTCTACGGGATTTGGTTTGCTTTTGGAATTGTCAATGCAATCCTAGCTGTCTTGTATCTAATCCTCACATTTACAACTAATTGGTCAGATATGAGTGCAAAGATATGTAAGAGGATTGAAGATTAGCACAAGATGTAAAATCTGAATGATCCACTTAATAAAGACTTTGAAGAAAACCATGAAAAATCAAAGAAAAAAAAAAAATCCAAATCATCTAAAGTTAAAGTATTATGACATCACAATTTTTATTAGCCGTCCAAACACAAAAAAGATGAAAGTGATAATTTCAATGATCAGAACCCAAATATAAAAAGAAGACCCACCAATCCTTCTGATGATGAATAATAATACAGTTTATAAGCCACTGAACAAACAAAAGTCGTAAAATAAGAGGTTAATACAGTGCCAATCACTCCTTGACCTTTTATATCAAATATTTAAGAATAAATAATTATTTATATTTTGAATGGGCATTTGCTAAACTAAACCTAAAGTTAACGAACCTTAATCAAAGATGAAAAAAATGAATACAGAATAACGGTTCATGCCAAAACCTAGTCGCATTTTAGATGTCAATTATAAATAGATCCCGAACAAATTTAGAAGGTAGGCTACATAAAAAAGAGTTTAACAAATTTAGTAATTCGATTCCGATACATAAGGATTGTTTGGATTGACCAATTTAGGAAACACATGCTTTTTAAATTCTGTATAATTAATACTTATATAGTCTATTTAAGCCTTATCAAATACATAACCATTAACAGATTACTTCATGTCTCAACTCCATATCAAAGAGATAAATCCTGAAAATCCTCTGTCTTCTTAAGGCAATGTAGTCAAATCGTTTGCTTAACTAATTAGACTGCTATGGTAGAAGGTGGATCAATACTAATATGATGATATGAAGGTATTGAAACCGTCATAATTTATATCAACAATTGGAAATTATAATCCTATATTTGCTGAAGGAACTTAAGAAGATGCGCATGAATTCATTGCTTTTATATTGGACATGATACATGAAGATTTGAATAGAATTAAAAAGAAACCTTACGTGGAATAAGCGAAGTTTATGAAATTTCCAACTAATGAGGACGCAGAAGAAGAATGGAAAAAATACTTATCACGAAACTAATCCATCATTGTAGATTTGTTTTAAGGTCAAATGTTGGATACATTGTCATGTCTAACTTGTAAATCTTCGAGATATTGTTTTGAACCCTTCATGTATCTGAGTGTGCCAGTGTTGAATAGAGAATGCGAATTGTAGGAATGCATTGAAGAATTCTTGAAGAAAGAAACTCTGAAGGGAGACGAAGGGTGGAATTGTACGAATTGCAAATCAAGGAGAGACAGCAATAAAAAGATTGATTTATGGTCAATGCCAAATATTCTGATTATCCACTTAAAGCGTTTTAAATTTAATTCTTAATTCAGAGCGAAAATCAGGTCTTTGGTCAAATATCCATTATAGAATTTATCCTTTGAGAATCTAGTATGCACAAAACAAACAGAAAAACCCACTTACGATCTTTATGCAGTCATTAATCATAGTGGCACATTGACTTCTGGACATTATACAGCTTATGCCAAGAACAGAGACGATTTGCATTGGTATCATTACAACGACGCTTTGGTTACGCCAGTTCAATAGCCAGAAAGTTTAAACGATGCATACTTATTGTTTTATTTTAAAAATAGTGTTGAGGAATTCAAAAGACAAACCTTGGAAGGAATCAATGTCAGTCAAAAAAGAAAGACCATAAAAAATACAATAGTAATCAAGCAAACTATGCTCAATATGCATTCTTAATAATCTAATAGTAACATCTCAGATTACAAAAAAAACAATAATATCAATTTAGCACCTTCTATTTCAAGTCAAGCTTAAAAAAAAATGTTGTTTAGAAAATAAACAAAGCATTTTCAAATTGTTAAAGCTTCAGAATAACCATCATTCTAATAAGAATCATATGTAATCTAAGAAGAAAACTGATAATTATAATTTGCATTTTTATATTCTTAATGAATAATAATAAGGTTTTTTGATACTTGAATTAACAATTTAATAATTCGATAAAATCGTTGATACATTTATAAAATATCATTGTGGTTGTTGGTCTTTATAAGGATTATTTTGAATTGCAGGTTAATTAACATATCCCTATTACATATTTCCTTATATAACATAACCTTGTTACACATATCCTTATTATACACTTAGATCCTATTATGGAATAGGCATAGGCACATTTCCTTAAGTATACTATCCATTAGTGTAATCGCCTTGTAGATAAGCCTCTCCAATTGACAAATTATGAATTCTAATTGATATAACATAAATCTTACCCTATGCTTACTCTAAAAATACTGATTGCACTCAACCACATTGAGATGGAAATGATAGCAAAGAAGATCCAAAAATAATAAAATAGTCTAAATGATTTGGCACACATCACATTTTAAACTCTGGTAATAGAAACCTAATTGAAATATGATTGTGTAAAATACTTGAACAAATTTACAATTGACTCCCGATAGAGCTCCTGTGTTTTTATCTGTGATTGACTTTAAATAATTTGAGGCAGCTGTGGTATATGATGTGATGGCATCAAATTTGGCAATCAAAGTATCTTAATTTTGTTTGTGTTTGTTTAGAATTGATTTTTCTTGATCTTGAACTGGCTTCCATTTTGAGGATTGAGATTAATAAAATTAATTTATGGTTGAGATCTCACCACAGTTGGAAATTTATTGATTTAACAATGTTTAATCAGCTGAAAATATCGCTGATTGCAAACAGACAGGTTTATTATTCGGATTTGAAAATGTTGATCCAGATAAAGGTGAATACTGTATGGCTGACGTATCACAGAATGACATTCTATCTGGCACTGAACTCTTTTTATTACTGTTACATGTCTTAACCTATTCTCTCATTAAATACTTCATATTGGCTGGATTAGATGAAGAGTATTCCTCTTCATCCACTCTTTCAAACGTAAAAAAAGAAGTGATGTAATCGGAATTTACTTTTAAAGTTGCATCTCCTTTTGCTGCTTCAGCTTGAAACTATGCTTTTTATACCTCAAAGTCACTTATTGATTAGTCTAAATCTAAAGCCTATTGCAGACTATCATAAACATTGTAATAATTCAGAATGTCACCATCTTTGAACAGACATTCAGTCATGATTTCTTTAATTTCTTTGTCTTTGATTGCGTAATTCAAACTTTCAAATTTAGTTTAATTTGTTAATATTACATCCATATAGTCACACCCTTCAGCAAGTACTCCACTAGTTAATCCTAAGACGGCACTTAATATAAATCCTATCAAAACAAACAAAAAATTGAAAGTGCAAGCGCAGACCAATAAGCATCTGAAACATTTCAATCCTTTTCCAAAACAAAGGAGGGATGAACTAAAAATAATCACCAAAGCGAACAATCCAAACACTCCAAATACAATGTAGAATACCATTGAGGAAAGATCACTTGCATTATCTAAAGAATCTGTAGTTTCAAGAAAATCATGAGCTGCATTTATTAGATTTACTTATGTATCTCTTATTGATACTTTAGTTTCTTCTAAACTTTTGGAAATATCATCTTATTAATCACCTAATTATTATCCATAACTTTTGATATTAGCAATCTCATTGATAATATTCTCATATATCTACTAAAATATTGCTGATTGGGGTAACACAGGAATTTATTTGATTTCTGTAACAATTGAATCAGAATTAACAGTTTTGCCTGTAGAAATGTAACCAAGAATGTTGTTAGTTCCATAGTAAGTTGTTAAAGGAATTGCTTCAAGCCTAAGAATTACACCTAAATATATACTTTTTATTTTCGTCAGATAACTCCCCGTATTAATCTTGCAATTGCTTTGCATTAATTTAATCTAACTGTTTTTAAGTATCGGATACAAAACCACCCAACCCATTTTAAATTATTGTTATGTTATTTATTACAGAATCCAATCCCTTCCATCTTGTAATCTCTAGATCCTCACTATCCAGAACTCCATAATTTATATCATTAAAAATCATATATCCAGCACATCTGATTGATTTTAAAGAGTTGCCAACGTCTTCACTCAAAACCAACCCCGCAATACAGAAAGCCAATATGATAACTCCAAAGATTATTGAAAACGCCAAGGGTATTCTAATGTCGTCAATTTTTTAGGCTTAAGTACACCTACAGCATGCACAGGGGCAACTAACATATTAATTTTTTGCATACCAATCACTACAACATATCAACAACGTAATGTAAGTGAATAGGGATATTACAAATAGTATTGCCCATGGGAGTAAAATAGCTATGACTGCTTATGCTGCGTCTTTTTATTGATCTGATGTCAATGTCCCATCGTTTTCGGCCAGATAATCTAAACCTATTTTTTTGTTAGTCGATAATAACTCCTCCCTTAATCTTTTAGCTTCTGATATTTCATCAGACGATGGTTAATAATCTAATAGATATTTTTTTCAAATACCGACATCAACACAAACATCAACTACAACTTCTGAAATGCCCTGCAAAATCGTTTCTTATTCCTAAAATTTAATCAACTCTTCACTTACATCTAGATAATTTTATATCACAAGTAAACACCCAAGACAAAGCAAGAAAATACAAGTTATTGAAGTTTTGTTTTTCATTATTTAAATTATCAAATTGTCAATTAGAACTTAATAATTCAATAAATTATTTATGTTATATTCACAACCATCTCTGTTAAATTTGGATTTCTTTTCATCCACCAACAAATCTCTAGATAGAATTTCATTTTAATTAATAATTGCATTAAGTATAACTCTTTTTCAAAATGTCATGTCATCTAGCCAATTTTGTAATTCATCTCAACATAAATGGAGGAAGCATACATCTTTTACCGACTCTCGTTTGAAATTTCTAATTTAAATTATCATTTTTATAAGTACAATTTGATACTGTTTTTTATAGATTTTATTGAAATTGGATTTATAGTAAATTCAATTATATGAAATAGCCAATTGCCATATATGTCTTAAACATCTTTTTTTTACCTTTGAGATCTCATTTTCATATTTAATAATAGTGTAATTTATGTTTCTCTAATTATTAATTAAATATTTAAAATTTCAACTGTACTAAATGTAGATGATCAGTAGTTGATATTATGACTTCTCCTCCTTTCTGAGGGATTATGGTAGAGCATCCTATCATTGATTAAGAGGTGTAATTTAATTACAACATCACTTCAATTTAGAAAATGATTTTCATTTAAAAAGCACATTTGATTTTCTTTATAATTAAATTGAGGATAGCTTTAATTTTCTAGAATAAATCTCATATTGCTCAGAATCAGGATGCCAATGAAAATCCCAACTATTTGTGTAACTCAAGTTTCGAGAAGTGAATTTGAATATGTAGTGGTGTATAATCATATATATATATATTCATATAAATATCTTCAAAAATTTTGGTGTTTCTTCATTTTTACAGATGAGAATTGGAATAACGAACCCTCCTTCCAAAGAAGACTTCATCCTTTTGATTATTTTGATTTTAAGAGTTCAGTCTTATACTCTAAACCTTTGGTCTTCCAAAAATGCTCTCTTTTTGAACATTCAATTGATTTGCATCAAAGTACAGTTTTGGTGGAGGAGAGGGCTTGTATTCCTCTTTAGGTTCTTTGTTCCCATTAACCTCCAAATCATCATTTTAGATTTTTTGTAAATTCAAAGCCAAGGTTTTTGGTTTGATTGGAGTTACACTAGTTGAAGTGGTCTTTTGATATGATTTATCCAAGATTATTCTCTTCTACTTTTTTGAACTACATGCGCCCATTATTAATTTAATAATTTTTTTTACAGTTTCAACAGCTTTTATCAATCGGCACTATTAAATCGGAGATTAACAGATTTTATTTATTATTATACTTGCCTGTTATTCAGTAACAATTAAAACCATGTATAAAAATTTAATTAAATAATGTATAATCATCCCGCGCGACAGAAATTTGTTTACAGAATATCTCAAACTGGGTTATTCTACACTTATTTCATTTAATACTGAAACATTTCTGAAATATTTTGATTTATTAAATAAGGATATCTATGAAGTCATGTAGTCTTCTTATTTGTTTAAAATAATAAATAGAAAATTAAGAAAAATAAATAATATAATATATAATCGTTAAATATTGCACAAAACCGTGTTGGAGAATAATTGTTTATAGAGAATTGCAATTATCTAAATACATGATTTCATGTAAATTGATATACTGGAGAGAGACATAAAATCAGGATTTCTGATTTTTCTTTGAAGGGAAATAGCAATATTATAAAATTTAAATTTGAAGAAATGTTAGCTAATTAAAAAATTGCCAAAAACATAGGGGTTTGATGATAAATACTAATCATTTGATAGGTTATAACAAAAGAGATAGAATTTAATTTGAGATAGGACTTTTAATATTCTCACTAATAAATATCATCAATTCTGGAAAAATATATAATGATAAGATTAAGAACCACTTTAATAAATAATACTAACATCAATTGAAAGAAAGAATAAATGAAGTAATTATGTTTCAATAAAGTTAGTTTACCTAATTAAATCAAAACATTAATGACCAATACAATCGCTTAAACCACTCCCCTCCTTCTAATAAGAGAAAATGTATAATCATTACATCGTAGAATTATTGGGGTTTACCTTTAGAATTTGATAGCACCTGTAGATTTAAATGAATATGAGATATTGAAAATTTAATCTATAAATTCAAAAATATGATTGTTTTCTGACAAATATTAATCATGATTATTAACTTTCATAATAGAAAATAATCGGAAGTTTTAATAAAGTAATGAAAGCAATTCTGATGAATGTATAGGGAAAATCATATGAAATCAAATCAGGAATAACGAAAGTTGGAAACACTGAGGTTTGTGAAATTTAGGTGCCCTTTGCTGAGTGCTTCAGGCTCAAACGTGAGGATAACTTTTTATGGGTCCAACCTCTAGTTAATATTCATAGAATAAATGGGTTTGGTTTAAAGGAGTCTTTATGTGCAGGGAAAGAATTTGAACTAGATCTTTCAACAGGAAAGAAAGAGATAATTGCTGGAGATGAACGATATACTTTTGAGTTTGGCAAACCAAGAATAATCAGAATAAATTTAATTGATCATAATAAATCAATGGATGAACCGCCAATTATTAAAAAAGTGTTGAATGAATCCATGTACTCTTAGAATTCGAAAACTCCGTAAAAGAAAGCCAAAGCCCTTCATTATTGTTTTGTTTAGAATTACGTAATTTAAATTATATATATGTTTAGATCAAATAATTAAATGGGGTTTATAAACTCAAATTTTCTAATTCTTATGTTTGTGCTGAGGATCAAAACAAACTCTATAAGTTGGGGATTGAAATAGACCCCAATGAATACAATATCTTGGTTATGGATTCTTATAAAAGGACTTTCAACTTGCTATTGGCCCTGAATTAAGGGAAGATGATAGTGAATTCTTAATGGATAAAAGATTGTCTATCTTCGATGCAAGTGTAGAATCCATATTTATATGTTCTGAAAACTAATAATTTTAGTATATTAAAATCCATAGGAAGTTCCATCTCGAATAAGATTTTCTTGAATAAGCATTTTCATTTAAGTCCAGAGTTAAAATCAAACTTGACGAAGGAAGAAATAGTGAAATTGATAGAGGCTGGTGGAGGCTCTATCAGTAATGAACCTTATGCAAATATGATTGTGAATAATGGTGAGGGAGGCGGTCTTTAGTTGGAAGAATTTATTCAAATGATTTTGTATTAAAAAGTATGATAAAACTGGTTGAAATTTTTAATATTATTATTGATGAAATAAAAATTTTGGATAGCTATTCCAAATGAATTGAAGTGGAAAAATGAAAAACCTATTTTGAAATCTGAATTCTAAAAGTCAAACAAAAAGGTGAGATATTTAATCGCCTACGATCATTATATTCTTTTTACAAAAGTATTATTCGATTCATTATTAAAATAGAAGCCTGAGGATCCTCCAAAAAAATATCTGAAATTGGATTTTGAAACGAAATTTGAGATCCTCAGAACCTAAGTTTAAAAAAAGGATGAAGATGACGATTCGTTGGGTGCTATAATTGGAATGAGTCTAATGAGAGATCATGGATAAGATCAAATAACAAGTTACTCTTTATCAGCCAATGAAAAAGTGATAGCTTAATGGAGAGAATTTTTTTAATCCAGAATTAATTAATGGTAATTTCATCATCTTTTCAGAGTATTCAAAAAAATCGGAAAGGGCAATTTCGCATCTGTAATTATTTCATTTGATTGTAGGTTTATTTGGGGGAACGCATTGAGGATGGTGCCTAGATGGCAATTAAAGCATTCTCAAAATAAGCAGCATATGCAGAAGATCATGGAAAAGAGGCTATCGTGAATGAATTAACAATCATGAGAAAATTAAACAATCATCATCTAATGAAAATGTATGAGATTTATGAAACATAAAACTCCCTTTATGTTGCACTTGAATTGTTAGAAGGTGGTTCATTATACGATCTAATCAAAGAAAAAGTGATATTGTCTACAAAACAAATGTAATAAATATTGGTTGGAATCTTACAAGGATTGTGTCATATGCATGAAAAAGATATCATGCATAGAGATCTAAAATTAGAAAACATTTTATTCAAATAACCAAAGTAAAAATATTTGTTAAATTCATAGGAAAATGGAAACGGTAGTCGTGGCAGATTTTGGTTTGGCCACTCATGTAAATGAACCTGTTTATTTGTATTGCAGATGTGGAACTCCTGGCTATGTTGCACCTGAAGTTATCAACATTAAAGATATGAAAGCCCATTATAGTTCTGTCTGTGACATTTACAGTCTTGGGTTAGTGTTTTATTTGCTATTAACTGGCAAACCTGCCTTTCCTGGAAAAAGTTACGGAACTGTGGTGAAGTAAAATAGAGAAGCAACTATTGATTTCACATTGAAATAATTGCAAAATGCTCCCAATACTGCAGTTGATTTATTGAGAAGAATGCTTGAAAAGGATCCTAGTAAAAGAATAAGTGCACATTAATGTTTGTAGCATCCATACTTGGCAGAAATGAACTAGGTTATGTTAGAAGATAACTAAAACGATTTTATTGATGAAGGAGAGGACAATGATTTGGGAATGCGAATGAATGCCTTAAATGAAGAGTAATTAATTAATAAATCCTTATAGATCGGCTAAATTTGATGCATTCAGAAGAAATCAATTGATGAATTCGCCTTAATCATCTCCAGGTGCTTTGGCTACTAAACAACTAAAGCATTAAAAAAACATTGATTCTTCTAATTAACTATAATTGAATTCACCTTTATTAACAGGTAAAACTGACAGTGTCGACAGCATTCCTAACATCGGAATGACTTAATAGAAATAGTAAAATACTTTTCAAGCCTCTCCTCAAATTAAACCTTCCCGTTTTAAACAGTAATAATATGTATTATATCTTATAGAAACGTCCCTTAACAAAAATAAGAGAATCCATTATTAAAATATACTTAAAAGAAAGAATGACATTGAAGTGTCTATGATTTATTATCATTCAAATAATATTTTCTTTTATAAATAATTTTTAACTAATTTTTGTAACATTAAACTCATTTGAGACATATTATCAATAATTTATCATTGTGGTTAAGACATTTATTTATTTCTTTTTACTTCATTGATAATCAATGGAGTTAGAAATACCCCTCCAATTATGGATAATGCACTACAATAAAGAAACAACCGTTTTTCTACATAAGGAACTATCAATTAATTAATGGCTGCAAACATGGCTGCATATCCCATAATAACTGAAACAACAGTTGAGGTTGCAGATTTACTATCTAAAATGAAAATAATAGTTACTTTTTAATTCTGGTTAATTACTGAGTTCTACAGTCATTGCAGTCGAAATATTATTGTAGCATCCGCCAATAAATAATCCTGTAAGGAATATTAAGCACATATATCCTGCTATTTCATGTTTAAATGAGCCACTATAACTCACCGATATCATTATTATGGTACCTATCCATAACGACGGTACTGTAATGACTGCTCTTTTGTTATAATAGTATCCAATCAAACTAGAATAGTGATATCAACAAATAAATTACCAAATGAGAATTCCTCCGGGAATTGAACCTACATCTATCATAGCTGTAATCCAGGCAACATCTTTGACATCTTTTGAGTCCAAATAATTTGGTAGCCAAAATCCAAGAATATAATAAACTGCTTTTACGCATCCAAAAGCAAACGCATAGAGTGCTACATTTGGAACAAACCATGCATTAAAATAATTTAATTGGTTATTTAAATTATTCTTTTTTTCTTAAACAGCCATTTAAGAAATACTATATTTCTTTTAGACTTGTGAGCTTTTTCTTGTGTAATCTAAATACTAATCCAAATTTTCCTCGTATTTTTTTTCAATCATTGATATCATAAGCTAAGGTTGCTAACTTACTTTTGATTTTTCGTATTCTTCAATCATCCTCCTTTTTGTTTCTTCAGGTGGAGCATTTTCCAGCAAAAATGTGTCTATCAAATTCATTATGAATAATGACGACCCAGCTAAATATATAGGTGCATATAATGGTAAATTATCTTTCCCTATCAAAATACCAGAATACACGTCACCAAGTATATTACCTATATTTGGACAGGCTGCAAAATATCCCATTAGTATCACTTTCTTATCTGTTACAAACCAATTGTTCAAAATTGCTGAATTAATTAACATTTATACCAAGCACTCCACACCATGCAGTTGATTGTCCTATCCCATTAATTATTTGCAAAATCAGAAATACATAATTATGCTTTGCTTCTATGTAGATCATTACGCCAATCAGAGTGAATACAAAACTTGATGTATATGTTCCAATTAAAATAAATACTTTAAGACTCATTCTATCTCCAAATTGCCCTAAACTACCGAATACGATATTCAATACATCGATATCGCAAGCCCATAACAAAAAAGAAAAGAAAAATTAATATAGCCAAGGTATTCTTTCGTGAAATACTCTTCCCCTACCATTCTACCTGATACATAGCTCCACGTTGACCTACAGCAATGCAAAAATGCATATTGGAAAAAACAAAGGACGAACATAAGAATTCTTTTTTTGGTGACTTCAGCTATTGAAGATGCAAACATTCTGCTTTATTAATTATTAACACTATCTTTAAATTAGTGTCATATTAGGATTTATAAAAAAATAGTATGTTAAATGATGCAATCATAATTGTAGAAATGAAGTATGATACTAAAACTAAAAGGTTTGCATTCAAAACTTGAAGAATGGTAGTTTAAAATACAAATTAAATAATTCATTTTTAATCACTTTTTTTTTAGCCTATAGTTTTCATTTATTATTATAGGAAGCAGAAATTTTCCTTAACACAACTAGAAATACAAAAATACTGTAAATCCGAAAAGTGGAAGAATTAAATGAATTAGAGGACATGTCCATCACAGAAATTTCATTTATTATGATAATAATTAATTGTAAAAAGTACTTAATAAAATTATATTATGATTTTTAATCCATTACTTGAATCTCCGAAATCCTGAGATGTTACCTAAATATCAAAACAAAACCAAATCATTCAAATGATTATAATTTCATATAGAATTTGGAAAAATGCAGAATAACAAAGTTCACATAAACCAAATATCATAATACTTATATTCGTTTTAAAATTATTCTCGAAATCAGAGAATTAAACATTATTTAAAATTAAATGTATTAAGATATATGATATCATTTTCTCAATGAATTTTCAACTCTGTTGCATGTTTGATCGATCAAATTGATCAAACTCTCTTCTGTTGCTTCTCTTTCATTCTTTTCACTAGTTAATTCGCTATTCAAATAGTGGTTCATTTCATCTAACATTCTGAACATTTAGCTTTGGGCTTATTCTCTTTGTTTCTTTTCAGTTGTCAAGATCTCTTACAATTTTAAGATAGAATCACCCAATCTCTTTATTGTGTTTTGATTTTACTACTCTCTAATTTAATATTTAATTAATAATGTACCTTTATCTTCTCTCCTCCTCTACTTCTTCTTATAATTATAAAATACGATCTCCAATCTCCTAAGCATTCTTCTCTTCAGTTTCCTCTCTATATTTCTTCTATCTAGCCAAATCCAATTTTAAGCTATAAACCTTATCGTCCGTATTCTTAATTATTTTTCCTTCAAAATCTTTTCTATTTATTTTTTCCGATTATAATTCTTTATTCAAAAATCCTTCTAATCCCTTTAAATCTTTTGATCTCAATTTCTCATCTCCAGCCTATTTCTTAAACGATCAGTACTTCTCTAATGATTTTTTCATTTTAAGCACCCTCTTCAACCTTTTAGAGCTGTTCCTTCAACAACTTGAACTTTGAATCATCTCCTTAAGCTTATTTGGTTGCTCTGTCTTCTAGAATTTTAATCTTGCTTTCAAAAGTTTCTTTTTTAAACTAATGATTAACATAAAACTCTTACAGCTTGATCTTCGTCAATCTAATGCTATAGATTAGACAGTTTTTCGGACAACTGTGATATTTTGGCTCTGCTAGGTGAAAGTGCTCTGTCTCCGGCATATGGTTACACATTTGAAACATTAACATTCGAGCGTGATGGTGAATAAAAGATCTTTGATGCAGACATTAATAATTAACAATAAAAATTATTTCTAAATATTTTTATTGCTTGTTCATTTATAAATCAATCTAATAAATCTCATAATTTTGTTATAATCAAAATTATTTATAATTTTGACAATATATGATTGGATAAGCAATAGCGAATCACAAATTTAATAAAACCCATCAAGAAGGCATGTCTTTAGTGTAGCAAAAATGAGTTTGCTTGTTTTTGTTTTAAACGAGAGAGAGTTGTAACTTGCTGATTAAAATTTTAATTGAATAAGTTTAAATAAATAGATGAGAATCCTTTATCATTAAATACAGTATAAATCACAAGTGCTTTAATGGATATTGAAAACAGTCTTCTTAACCAATCAATAGAAAAAGCAGTAGAGCTTTGCAAAAGTATTTGCAATTAATCCAAATGCCGACAAAAGGAATTATTGATGCTTTCTTGTGTTAATTTTGAGGATAAAAGAAGATATTAATACTGCTTGTAAATAGAAATATGTTAATATTATTAAAATAATAGTATTGGTAATATAGGCAATAATGAGAAAATATATTAGAAAGACAGCGTAATTTCAAGGAATTTAACTCTTAGTTTCTAAATTGTAAGAAGTTAATTTCCTTTAGATATAATCGTGAGAATTATCATTGGCTTACTAAAATTGAATGGAGATGATAACATTAATTAATAATTATCCGATACCAACTAAAATTGTAATTGTGATTTATTTCTTTATCAAATCTTTATAAGGCAATAAACCTTCATGGTAGAATAGTAATTTATGAAAACTTATTATCCCCATATTTTATTAATTTATTTAATATTAAATTAATTACGTGTAATTTTAATGATCGATTTAGTAAGTATTATAACTACTGGCGGAGTCATCCTATTTTACAAAGTATTCTGATTTCATTAAACAACTAGGCTCTATGCTAAATAAAGGAGGATGTTTTGGGAAAAGTCATCGATGGATGTTTACAATAGAAAACATCATTATAATTGGGATCAATGAAAGTTCAATGGGTCATATTAAATGAATTAGGATTGATATTTATCGTTTCTTATCAAGAAATCTTTTTCATCCAATATATCGATGTATTGTTGAAAATGTTGTAAACTTAATTCAAATAAATATACAATCCTGCAATTAAATAAAAAGGAATTTACAAGTATTTATGTCATCTTACAGGGTAGGTCTATTCCAGAGTTTGATTCTGGTTTTGAGGAAGTCATGAAGATGTGGTAATTGTATTGTGACAAAAGGAGTGAGAAAGAAAAAGAAGGACCAACAAGAACATAAGATTAATAGTAAGAATAATTTTCAACATTCGAACCAAAGGTTGAAACAGGTAATACGCCGAATGAAGAGCCAAATGATGGTTAATAAAAGTTAAGCAAATCAGAAATAATAAAAATGAAGATGTAATAAAAGTCTGGAACACGATCTCCAAAAGATGGTACAAAGTCCCCTTAAGATGGTGCTAAATCTCCTGTTGATAGTAGATCACCAAAATAGTCTGTCATTATGAATACAAACATAACAAAAAAATAAATTGAATCTTTGGATTTCACTAGTAAGGGACAAAGTTAAGTCTAATCCAATTAAAATGAGAAATATATGACTTAAGAATAAGAAGATGATTTATTAAAGTAATTTGTTGGTGATGATGATCCTTTATTCGGTTCAGATGATGAAAATCCAAAATAACAAAAAAAACAAGGTTTATTTTAAAAATTGACAGGAAAGATTTAGAACCTAACAGGAAATAAATAATTAACTGAAGAAGATCTGTTACCAGTTTTAGATGATTTCAAAAATGCCTTAATGTAGAAAAATGTAGCAGAAGAAATAGCATAAAAATTAGTTGACTCCATAAAAACCAATTTATTGGCTACAAAAACAAAAGCATTTTAATCAATCAGAACATCAGTATAAGAAGCAATGAAGTCAACGTTAACAAGAATTCTGACACCAAATAGACACATTGATATTATTGCTGAAGCATTGAGAGCAAAAGAAAAACAAAAACCTTATGTAATAGTAATCATAGGAGTTAATGGGGTTGGAAAATCAACAACATTAGCAAAATTAGGATACTTATTCAAAAGTTAAGGATTCTCATTGATGATTGCAGCATGTGATAATTTCAGAGCTGGAGCTGTAGAATAATTAAAGACTCATGGATAATGTTTGGGAATTCCAGTTTATGATAGAGGATATAAAGATGATCCTCCCGAGATTGCTTATTAAGCTATAAGAGAAGCAACGATCAAAAAAATTGATGTTGTTTTAGTAGATACAGCTGGAAGAATGTAACACAACGAACCTTTGATGAGAGCATTGTCAAGGATAGTTACAATGAATAATCCTGATCTTGTTTTATTTGTAGGGGAGGCCCTCGTTGGTAACGATGGAGTAGATTAATTGGTTAATTTTAATAAAGCTTTGATTGTGAATAGTCCAAAGGATAACGTAAGAGAGATCGATGCTATAATTTTAAGTAAATTTGACACTGTTGATGAAAAAGGTAAATGATTAATCATATTTGGTAGTTGGTGCAGCATTATCCTTAACATCAGCAACAGGCAAACCAATTCTGTTCGTTGGAGTAGGACAGAAATATACACATTTAAAAAAATTAAATGTGAATACTGTTGTAAGAGCATTATTACAATGAAAGTATTGAAATATACATAATATCCAAATATAAAAACAAAATTTGAATTCCAAAAAGTAATTAATAATTTTAACGGAATCAAATGGCTTTAGATGAAACTTGGGTGTTATCTTGCGCTTTCTTTTCTATCCTAGGACTATTAGGATATTCAATGATAGCTGCCGGAGCGGTCAGATACAAATCAGTTCAATCTGCTATTATTACAATTTTATTGGGTGGAATCTTAACAATTCTGGCTTTCTATATTGTAAGACAATCAAATATTATTAGACTGGCTATGCATTTGCATTTGGATAGGATTCAAACAAATTCATTGGTAAATCATTATTTGCCGCTGCATCATTTGAATCAACACCAAGCAAAAATGATTATGACAACTTTGTATTCCACACTATTGCTGCCATTTTCGTTACTTCAATCTTTGCATTAGGCACTTTGGAGAGGTCAAGATTCTTCTCATTCAGTTTTGGTGTGATCATCCTATAAGGACTCTTGTATCCAATAGTTGTTCATTGGACTTTTGGTTAAGGATGGTTGAATATATTTGGATTCTAAGACTTTGGAGGAAGCTCAGTAATTCATGTGTTTGGAGGTGTTACTGCTTTGGTGGCATCATTATTATTACATGAGCGTAGAGATCAAAATGGAAAAATTCATCCAGGAATCTTCCCACATCATGCACCATTCTTCGTTGGAATCGGTACCATCTTACTTGTTGTTGTATAAATCATATTCCTTTCTGGGTTGAATAGAGGATCAGCAACTTATGTCAAGGGATTAGTTCCTGTAAATGCTTTGTTGGCTGCATCATTTGGTGGATTGAGCAGTTATGTCTCTTATTATTTGAAAAAAGAAAAAACAAGTTTAATAACAATCGCTAGAGGAGCACTTGCAGGAGTCGTAGCAGTCAGTGCAAGCGTTGATGACATTTAATTATGGGCTGCTGCCTTAATTGGAACATTAGCTGGAATCTCTTACCTTGTGATATAATTAATAGTTAAAAGATCTCATGTAGATGATCCAGGATAAGCAGTAGGTGCTCATCTTGTCCCAGGAGTTCTTGGTACACTTTTATACGGAATATTGTCAAGATCCCATGGATTATTTTATGGCAATAATCTAAAATCATTTGGAATCTAAATTGTAGGATTACTCTCTATTGCTGGATGGGCTCTCCTCATTTTAGCAATATTGGTACCATTGAAAGGTTTTGGAATCTTTAAGATTAAACCTGAATAGGAATCCTTGGGAATCGATTAAAGCTATGGTATGTGAATCATATTTAAATTGTTAGCTGGTGGCGAAGCCTATGTTTTCAGTGACTAAACTGTAGAAACCAAATCCCTTTTAAATTCATAAAAGAAATCCATATTCCATTGATATATCAATTATTATACATCATTATAATCATTTGTAAAACTATCCAGAATCCTCTAAACACATAGGATTAGATTCAATCAATATATGATTACAAATATAAATCATCTTCCTTTCCGAATGAACTACAATAAATTAGGAATATAACAATGTACTTTGCTTTAATTTTTAAAGAGACTGTTAAAGAAACTTTATCATTTCTCTTAAATAAATTGTTCTTTCTAGATTTTCATAGTCTTCTCATTAAGAGCTAAATCCTTATTTTTAAAGAACCTTTGAGTGAATTGGTTCATCTAAAATAATTTCATATTTCTAGATGTGATTATCTGATAGTTTTAGAATAGATTAGAAATAAATTTAAATTATCTCTATTCATCTATGAATCTAAATTTATTCAAAGAGGAATTAGATTAATGATTAATGTTTTTAATTATTTAATTATTTTGAAGAACATTCAAGTTAAGTAATTTTCAGTCATATTAAACTAAGTATCTAAAAATAAAGAATAAGCAGGTTTAGAGCTTAAGAGAATGATAGCTTTGCTTATAAATTTTAGTTGCGAATAACTTTACATCTAATAAGGTGGGTCTGTAACTAAACTTTCAATTGTAAATTCAAGTTGCATTTCGATTCTCTAATCCTTGATAGTCTATTATTAAGATATAATTATCATTCATATTGTTTTTTTGTTATTCTTTCATGATAATGATAAATTAATGTAACATTTAATATGATATGATCATTTCATAAACTCATAAGTTTTTTGCAATATCAGCTGGGGCATTAGCTTTCACAACTTAAACATATTCAGTTTTTGCTTATTCTGTAGACTTTCCCTTATTGGCATTCCATGCATCCCATTTTGCTCTGCCTTTTTGATCAAGAATTCCTGGCTTACCTTAATATTTATCATTTTACAGAATACCTATATTAACATCTCCCACTGTTGCTTATTTGTATAATCCATAAATCTACAATTTTGTTTGATCATTCAATTTATCAACGAATGATTTAACTTCTTCAGCTGCTAATTCGAACTATGAAATAATGAGAAAATATGCATACATTCTATGCCATTTGGATTAAATTAATATATAAAAGATTTATTATTTATTTGCTTAAGAATAGCATAATTAATAATTTTTATCTAGAATTCTTGTATAATTTGTTACATAAACATAGATCAATGTTCGACAGCGATAAGGCTGCGTATTAGTTACCCGATAATATTAGTTGTTTGATTCTTAACCATCATCTCAAAGTCATGATCAACTAGATGATCGCCATTTAATAATTTATCTCTGTAGTATTTTAAATACTTGTGATCCTCATTTGTTATCATAACATCAGAGGATTTCAGATAATCTAAGAACTCCATAAATTATTTCATCTAATTGTTGTGTAATTCAATCTTATATTTTAGTTTTCTAACCCATTTGTATCGAAGTTATTATAATTATTTTTTTGTTGGTTATATACTGTCTGGTTTTTCACTGTAAACAGATAGTTTCTAATTAAGTTAGCAAATATCTTACAGCTGCCATACTACGTTCTCTAGTTTCCTCAGTTTTGTAAATTATTTCTTTGACTTTATCTCTCCTCAAATCTAAGAATGATAATGTTATTGATTTACTTCTAATTTCGTTGTTCTACTCAATCGTTTACTTCAGGGATGTTGATCTATCTCTACCTGTTGGAGTTTCGCTTACGTTAAATAATTGAGATTTTATAGAATGAGATGAATTTTCTTCATTTCTGGTTGTCTTTATTTAGGTGTTTTTTGATTGAGTCTGGGGAGAAATTTGAACGAATTGATCTTTTGTTGTATCAATGCTACTTAGGAACGTCTCGACTTTTTACAAAGATGCTTTGATGGTATCATGTTTCAGATGTGATTTTTTAATGATGTTATTAAATGTTCTTCTATAAAGATATTCCTAAAGATTGACATAGGTTGATGATTACTTCAACAAACGGTAGCTCTTTTTCTTTGTTTTTTTGGGGTTCATCTTAGAGAATGCGTGAACGGTTCAAAAATTTTTGTTACAATCTTACTTAGTTTATCCTATTAATGGATCATAAGTGGTTACTCTCTATTCTAAACTTTAACGTAATCGATTATTTTGCCCCCATTGTGTTATTGATTTTTTAGATGTTACAAATTGTTGTTGTTGTTATTGAGATTTTGGTCAAATGATCCTCTCCGTTAGTTTTATTGATGAATATAAGTTTCTAAATCTGCCAATTTCTTCAGTTTGAGTTTCCGTAATTTGAGCACAGGTTCATCATTGAAAAAGAGAGCTTTCAAAATGATATGAAATTAATACGATCATCAGATATATCAATTCTCTTTCTTTATTTTAATTACATTGACATGGATTAACCAATAGGAATTGGACGATTTAAATTGCAATAAGTTATATCTAAAGAAATGAATCAAATGAGACAAAGCGTTGATCCTCGTACTTCTTTGCAAATGATCTTAAGCCAAAGATCTTAAGCCCAATTTTCATAAGTGGTGGATTAAGAAGCTCCTTAAGAATAACCAATTAAATCAGTTAGCAAGAAAAAAGTAAATCAACATAAATATGAGTTATATAGGGAAAAAAATTTGAATTTTAAATCTCCTCTGATTCAAGTTCATTTACAATTACTTCTGAAGAATCTTCAAATTCCCAAAAGTCCCAACATTCTACAAATTACTTACTTAGATAACAAGCAGCTGCATCCTTAAAATTGTTGGTCAAAGATAACAAATAATAGATAAAATTACCCAATATTCCAATAAGAAGCATTTCTAATGAGAAATAGCAAATTAATTTTTTAAAAGGACTATAGTAAAATTCTGAATTGAGTGAAAACAACCATATAGAAGAATTTTATCAGTAAGGGAAAATAACTGTTAAATTAAAAAGCAAGGACTTTATGACATTCATGAGATGGCAACATGAAGTTGAAGAATTAAAAAGAAAAAAGAGGGACTTTGATGAATAGAAAGATAGACATTTCTAGTTAACCAAAGGTGACACTGTAACAAAGATGGAATAACAGAGAAAAGAGGAAATATTAAAGAAAAAGAAGAACAGATTTTCAGAATCATGGATTGTTGGCATTTCCTTGGCAAAACGATTTTTAAGAATTGGCAGAAAAAGAGCTAGGGCTACCTTATAAAGAAATGCCATCAAAACTTTAACTGGTATTCAGAGTGTCCCACATTTGAGTGATTCCAATAGGTCTGACGATGTTAGATCAATGGCTAGTTTTAGAGAAATTTAGAATCCCTAAATGTGAATTCTGATTGTAAATAATATTATTTGTTTTATAAATGAACTAAAATTCCAATCAATTACTAGGATAACCGAAGAATTAATTTAAAATTGTAGAGAGTGTCTATCAATAGCAATAACCATAACAATAACAACAATAACAACCAAGACAATAGCAATCAGTGTCATCAAAACCTGTTGAAGAATCCCATTGTATAAGAGTGAGGAGCAAAGAAGTTAAAGCTGTTCATAGAATGATGTTATGGTTTTGTGGCAAGAAATAATAGAAGCTTTACTAAAAGATGAAAAAAAAACATAGATATAGAAAGAATGTGATTGCTGAAATTATAAATACAGAGAGGACATACGTGAATGATTTGGCCATTATTTGCGAAAAAGTGAAAACATCCTCACTTTCTATTTTATCTCCAAATGATGTTTAAACTATCTTTATGAATTGCGATGAAATTTTGGCTTGGAATAAAGAGTTTCTATAAGAAATGGAAAAGGGGTATTCAAAATACAATCTTGATAAGAACTAGATGCCAAGACCATATCAACCGGTTTTTTATGGGAATGCCTAATAATTAAAAACGCCCGATCTATTTGCATTCAAATGTTATTATGAATACTGCAGTAAATTTACAAAATCTAATAAACATTTTGAACTTCTGAAAGCAAATGATCAGAAGTTTAAAGAGTTCTTAACATAACTCAACAAAAATAATACTTTAAGAGGAATGGATCTAGGAAGTTTCTTAGTTAAACCCATTTAGAGATTGCCTAAGTATATTTTATTATTTAAAGTAAAATTTGAATATATTATAGGATTTAGAAAAGAATACGGATGAAGATTATCCAGATTTACCAAATATCAAAGAGATTCATAAATATTTCAAGGAAGTTAATGAAGAAAATAACAAATTTATGGATATATTTATGGGTAGATTGTAACTTCAATAATTAAGTGAGTCTTTGAAGATCAATTAAGAAGAATTATTAAATGAACCTCAGAGAATTTTTAAATTTGAAGAGAAATTAACAACCATTTAACCAAATGCAAAACATGATGAGGATTGTTAAGTAACAGTCTATGCTTTGAGTGACATGTTGGTAGTTGTGCAAGATGAAAAAGTTTAAAAGAAACTACAATTAGATTCTTTATCCTTTGTTAAGAATTAATCTGACAATAATAAGTACTTTAGCAATTTGTTTTAAATTGTTGGAGTAGGTGATACAATATAATGCATAGCTGAAACACCGGCTGCAAAAAAGAAATATATAGACTTGTTTGAAAAATTGATTTAAGAAAATAGAGAACATGAACACTAAAGAGAGAAGGAACTTGGAAATTAATAAATAAAAATGCGATATCCTGTTTAAGTTGTTGTAGTTGGTACTGAAGAAAGAAATTTTTAATCATTCACTAAACATACTTAATATATCACTGAAATTAGTATAAATAAAGTGTTTCAAAATGTACTAAAACACCCTATTTCTAGATATTTATTCGATACAGTGAAATTGAAGCGATGTCAATTAAATATAAACAAAGATATCCCAGAATAGAGTTGCCTTAATTGCCTGACAAAAATTGGTTGATGAGTCACAAGACTAAGAGTATAGAGGCACGTAAGATAGCAATTGAAAATTTCCTTTAGGCATTACTATAAGCAAAGGAGTCCTAATCAGATCCTGATATTTTGAATGAATTAAGTATAGTTCTTCATTAATCAAATTAGAATTACCTAAGAATTTTTTTGACTTACCAGATCTGTATTAATCTATTTTAAAATCAAACTTAAACTAGAAATAGCAGAATTTCAAAAGAACCACATTAGAAGGAAAAGAAGAATTAAGAGAGAAAGGCATAAATATTGAAAAACTAAAAATAAGTGCTGGAGAGATTTTAAAGGCCGTTTATATTGAACAGGAAACAAGAAAAAAAAGTGTTGTGTAAATTTGTCCCAATAAGGTTATCTCATATGAGAATTCAAAAGATCCCAGTTTGCAAAAAGTTATTATTACATTTCCTGATGGAACTGAAACAGCACTTGGGGTCACAGAACAAACAAGAGTTAGAGAGGTTTTAGAATATGTTGCGAAATATAATCACCTTGTTTATTACAAAGATTTTAGATTATATTTAATTGATTAATTAAAAAAACAGAGAGTTTTGGACGATGATGAAGTACTTTTTAAAGTGATTGAAGATGAAAGACAAAATAACCATGGAATATTAAATAAATTGGAATAAATGCTAGCCAAATCAAATGCAGAGTATTTATTAATCTAATTACTAGAGTTCTAATAAAGATGAAAAAATATATCTACTTGCCTGCCAAATTAGAAGAGAGTGATTATAAAGAAGATCCAGTCAGGCTAATAAACTTAGCCTTTTCTATATTAGATGATGTTCATGATTAAAAGCTACAACTTGGATTTAAAGAATATTGTTTATTTGCTGCACTCTATTTCCATATGAAGCATCAAAGATTGGATGATAAATTATTTGGTGAAGTTAGAAGAGTAATTCCTTCTGAAATGTTTCAAAGTAGCACAGATAAAGAATGGAAAGATCTGATTACTTAGTGTTTTAAGGCACTTGACAATGAACTCTCAACAATCAGTGTAACATTTAACAATTTATTTAGAAAAAAAATGAAAATGACTAAATCTAAAAGAAACCTAACTCCTAATACAAACACACCGACAAAAAATATTTGGCTGCAGGAGTTACTTTAAATGCTGCGCGAACTTTTGTTTAAAGCATAATGGCAATCTTTTAAGTTCAAGTCTATGAGGGAACTCAGAAGTATTTTAAGAATTTAGGACTTGAAGTTCATCCCACCATTTACTTAGGGTTGTCCATTCATAAAATACATTTTTTAAACCCCCAAAGAAAGGAACAATTTAGAGAAATTGATTATAGTCGTGTAAATGGAGTGAAGTCTTACCCTAGTTAAATAATCTTTGACCTTTAAATATTTAAGGAACCTATTAGGTTTGACACTTACTAAAGTTATGAAGTACTTAATTAAATTTTAAATCCTAGATAAAATCACTTGTTGAATAATACCAAGCTATTCAAAAATTCGATGAAGAATATGAATTGGGTCATCAATTCAATATTAAACATTGAAAACATTAAAAATTAAATACAATTTATTAATAAAATTTATATTGATTTATTCATCATAATTTTAAAGCTGCAATTTAGTATCATGAAAACCATGATGTCTATATGAATATAGAGACTTTTTATTAAGTAACTAATTAGATAATAATTTGTTATATATTATTTCAAATTCAAACTGGAGAACTAGAAGTTTCACGCTAGAGGCTGAATTTAGACTTTTCAGTAATTTTATTTGGAAAATTAAGTAAAGGTGTGCTTCCTAAATTTTGGGGAGTACGTCTTCCAATGATTGAATTCATTTATAACTACATTTTAGGCTTCTTACTAATTTAAGGTGGTGTCATAGTAGTTGATTTAATTTCTTTCTCTTCCTTTAATGTTGTTTGTGCTCTTTTTAAATGCCGTTTTCTCTTAAAATACCTTTCTTGCTTAGCTCTCGGATCTGTTTTCATTTTGATACCAAGTTCCTTGAGATATGAAACAATGCTTCTTTCAATATTCAAGCTAGCTGGTTATTATGGCTAGTATTCTAGTATTTAAAGTTCAACAGAAACATCCGAAACTCCACTGTAACACTCATCATCTTAATCAGAAACTTATAAATTTTCAAAATCAATGTGCAGCTGTACTGGATTATCATCCATTTTTTTATTATCAATATAAATTAAATTGTTTGAACTTAATATGAATACAAATTCCTATTATTGTTCAAAAGTAGTTCCACCCAAACACAAATCTTAAGAGCTTAAATAAACATCATTTAATTAACACTTTGATTTTTTTTTTCAAAAACATTAATTTAAGTATCAATAAGACAGTATCACTTATTTATCAAAGGCTTTTTACTTTAAAAAGAGTTGATTTCATACCCAAATCATATTTCTTCTCTTACAGGTGATAAACAAATTTGAATTAGTAAATCGAGGCCTGATGATTATAGAATCTTTTTAAAATGCTCAGTAAAATAACTATAAAATGCTTGGATATTGTACTAGAATTTCAGAAACAATTTATAAGTTAATACTGTGGAATAGTAAAAGGATTTGAAAACCTTTTCTATAAATTTGATTTGCATTATAGATTTATTAGATCATCAAAAATTGATATTCAAACTGCTTTTATTAAAATTTAAATGGTGGAGAATGAGATATCTTTGAAATGATAAATAAATCCTTTTCCCAGTTTAATATTTTATTTCTCTAGATTTACTCAAAAAAATGAGTTGGAACATTGAAATGAGTTAAACAAATATTGTATTTTTTTGAGAAACTCAGGATATTCTTATATCTCTATAATTTACAATGCCAAAATTTAATTCTAACCTCTATTATTCATTTATTCTACAGTTTATAAGATGAGAACAATAATTTTTGAAAGTTCATTAATGTTTAGTCTTAATGCTTGCGAAATTGATATTTAATAATTCTAAATTGTTATTTTCTTTTTAAAAAAAATAGTTCATTATTTAATTATGGTAGCATAATTGTTAGGTTAAACAAAATGTAGAGGAAAAATAAAAATTTTTATGGTTATATTTATACAAAGATATAAAAATGTTACCAAATTAATGATGAATTAGCGAATATATAAAAGCCAAATTAATCATTTAATTAAAATATCTGACAAATTATTTCTTATTCTCATCGATTCAAAAACTGTCCATTCCATTTAATTTTAAGTGTTTGCCCTTTTTTCCCTTAAGTTCCTTTATAAGAATACTCCTTTGATTCTATTTGAATAGGTTGTTGTGTAGGATTTAACAAATTGTGAGATGCGATTTAATTATTATTTATCCTATATTACTGACCAATTAGGAAGATAATTAACATGCAAACTGTCATCTTATAAACAAAACTATATAGAAGATACGATTTACTCTGAATATAACTCGCTGTGCTTATTCCCATTGTAAATCTAAGAGAGCATATGACAAGTTGCTTAGTTGTACTTCTTCAGTTTTTGTTGGATCTAACTCGTATTTATTATGATTTGATTTGAATAGAAAATCAAAAAAAGAATCAGTCAATTTATCATTAAATAAACTTGCTAAGTGTTTACAACAATCTGAAAGCATTTTATCAATTGTGTAGAATAGAAAAGCCTAAAAAACTTATTATAAACATTCACTTGTTTTCCAAATAGCAAACTTAAGTAGTCTTGATATTTGAAATCTTTATTTTTAATTTAGTAAAGAAGAGCATGCTTAAACAGCTTATATCTTATTTCTATTATTTTTTTCTTTTCTTTTTCATTCAATTCTAGAGTTTAATAAAAATTATACTTTCAAATTTTTCATTTTATTCAAAATTCTAACTAATTTAATGTGCCAATTCAATTCTTTGATACAAAGAATAGAAATAGCGAAAAAACAAATATATTCCAGACGTGCCATAAATGATTTTGCCATGTGGCTTATACTTACTCTAAAAATTTGTAGTTAATTGTAATGAGTTCCTTGGGAACACATCCTATTCATCAATAAGAGGTGATTTAAGAATTTTGATTCTTTAGAGCTCATAATCAGATTCTTCAAAGTCATCTGAATCCTTTCCGTTGTTGCTAATTGAATTATTAGTATTAATGTGAGATTTTTTGATTTACTCTTATTCAATATTAAATTAATCGATGTAGGAGAACGATGAATTTGTCACATATTATTCAATAACTGATAATTCTGCTCTTAAAAGAGAAAAATTATAGTTCTAATCAACCAAATCAAGATCGAAGAAACCTTAATATAATTTTTAGAATAAATCAAGAATCCATTCGGATTCATTTTAACTAGATTGTTCCATATAATATTTAAAGATTTCAAAAGTTTCTTCCAAAAGAGTTTTACTAGAAATGTAAAAGCTAAAAACAGTGCTTTGATCAATATCGTTAATATTAACATATTTTCCATGGCTCAGAGGCTTAATAGTGGTTAATTATATTAAAGAATTCAAATATTCTGTTTGAATGGTATTATTTGTCTATATTAATGTATACTTCTCATCAGGCTCTTTTAGAAATCTTGAAACACATGTGTATTGCTTTTCATTCTTTTTAAAATAGAAAGATCTGTGATCTAAAGATCTGGAGAAATTGTTTTTTTATGTTAATTTCCAAGTTTGGTTTGCGATTTCTCTTGATTTAATTAACTCTTGGCATTTTTAGTTCAACCTATCTCTTAGAATAGGAGAACATTGTATTGGATTCTTTTGCCACAATGTGATGACTTCTTCCTAGTCTTTACAATTTGTTTTGTAAACTGATTGCAGGCATTTAATTTATAGTATTTTTCTAATTTGCTATTCAATGGCTGAAGAATTGTTGCCTGCTATCAACTACTCAAGTAACTATGTTACAATAAAGTAATACTTTAATTGTTCTTCTATAACAATTAATATTAACATCATATTCAAACATTTCGTCTTCAATTTTGAATAATTATTCTTCAAAACTGTTTTTCCTCATAATTGAAAAAGAATAATCTTCGCTACCAAAAGGCACAGATACCCAGAGATGATTTAGGACATTTGGTAATTTAGGGTCTTCTTTCATAATATTTGCATATCCAGGATGCATTCTTACATATGATCCTGTAATGTGCTCAGCATTCTTGAAGTCAGTGTCTTTAAGTGGTTTAAATAATTAAGTTTGTTATCTACGTGCTGGAGCTCTAGTAAATATAGCTATTCTGAGTTCATCTATAATCTCCTAATCAATCCATAAATGCGATGATAAAATATCCATCAATTCGTATTAAGTGATGATACATTCTGTATATAAATGAATGACATTTACAAATTCATCAAAAAATTGATTAAAATCAGACTCTGATGTAAAATGACTAAAACACTTTAATCTTAGCTTATCTAGCACAATAATTTCATTTTTAATTTCTCTACTTGCTTATAACTAATAAGCATTATTATAAAAATGTTATGTATAATACGCTTAATAAGATTAAATCTCTTCCATTGTAGGAGGATTTGGTTTAACCCTCTTGTTTTTGATTTCATTCCAATCCACTTAAATCTTTTGCTTTTATTTTTTGAGCTTGAAGACATTCTAAATTTCTTTGAGAGCCTCCGGGTCATCTTTAAATTAGATTGATATTAACTAGAATTTGATATAAAAGTTATAATTACATCTAATTATTACTATTGGTCAAGATTTCCCTTGAGAATCAGATTCTTAGTTTACTCAAGGAGATTGATTCTGAACTTATCTTATTTAAAGAGACATTCTAATTGTTAAATTGTATCATTTGATTTGATTCGAGCATCATGATAAAATAATTTATTGACATTATCAATAACTGTTGGCTAATCTGAAAAGAGCTTTTTAATCTCGCCGTAATAGTGGGATATGCTTTATTTATTCTATTTGTAGTCTTTCACTAACTCAACTAGCTATCTAAATATGAAAAATTAATATTACTAGTATAATAAAGGATAATCTCGTCTCAATCTATTGCAAAATGCTTCACAATTTTTGTATCCTCTTTGTATTTACTCTTCTTCTAGATAAGAATTATTGTTCTGGACTTCGCTCATTGAAAAATAAATATAAAAAATAATTAATTATTTCTATCTCTAATTTGATTCGTTGACTTTTGTTATTAGGAGATACCTGATTATTTAATTAAATAATTATTTGAATCAAAAAAATCCATTGTCTTGGAATGCATGATGAAAAGCATTAGAAACACTAAATTAAAGCACCTCTCTTAAGCCCTTTTCTTCTTTTCCTACTCTAGTATTATTGCCACGCTATTCACTAAAATCTTTTCCAATTTAGGATTCATCATATTTTATCGAATTCTTTCATCTTTTATTATCATTGAATGCAAATTCTTAAACTTGAAATCTATTATCTTTAATTGTGCATGAATATCAAAATATCATTGAAGTTTATCTGCTCATTCAAAAAAGTTGATTTTACATTGGTATTTCTCAGAAGCTTCTTAACTCTTGCCACATTATACTTTCAATTCCTAATTTTATCCCATAATTATAATTTTAAAATTATACATTTTCCGATTTTATTCTTATTTTTCACCTTTGATTATTCATCATATCATACATATTAATGTATATGCATTTCTTTTTAATATATAAGTCTCTAATTCTGTAAATGTGTCACAATGTTACTCCTCTGTTGATTATGATTAAATTTAACTTTTTGATAAAGATCTTAAAAGCTCCTCTAATATCTATTCTTCTATAATATAGAATCTCGATCTATTATAGTCTCATCCAAAAACATCTTAGATAGAACTAGTGCTTTCTTTAATGGATTTTAGATCGATATTATTTAAAATAGCCTTGATAATTTCAATAATTTTAATCTTAAATTAGCCTATTTAAATCCCAGAATATTTTTGCTATCTTTATTAATAATTCGAATTCTCTTACATTCTTTTTGGGAGAATTCTTATTTCATATAAAGAAAAGGTTCTGAAATATTTTAACAAATAAATTTTCTTAAGCATCTATCTCAAGTTTAATTATTATTTCATCAAATTTAAATGGGGCTTATGGTTCTATAACTACTTATCAAAATCAATTTGATTTCTTCCAAAATAACATTTCAAAAATAAGCACTTTCTTGAATCCAATACCAATAATCAAGAATAAAATTTTATATGCTCAAATTTAAAATTCTTTTGCTGCATCATCTTCTATATTTTTTTTTTCTAATTCTTTTCTTACAACATTTCCTAGCATTTTTGTAACCGATGAGCTCAAATCGTTTTAATAGTTTATCATTACATTATTGAAATACATCATAAGTCGCTTTAGTTATTTTCAGAATTCTTCTTTAATAAATCTCAAAATCAACAATAAATCAGAACCAATTAGAATGATTTTAAATTTTTGCAAACTTGCAAGGTTGTGGTATAATGGATATTTTTAAGTCTGTTGTTTTCTATTATGATTGGGGGTTGCTAGCAGAAAGTTTACAAAATCATATTAGTTGGTGATCAAGGAGTTGGAAAATCCTCGGTGTTACTCAGATATACGAAGGATCAATTTAATGGAGAGTGTGGTGTTACTATTGGACTTGGATTTGCAAGTAAATTGTTTCTGTTCACGATAATATACTTACACTCTAAATTTGAGATACTGCAATGATGAAATATTTTAAGTTTCTAGGTAGGCTAAGAAGCAGTCAGAAGTATTGCTAGATCTTTTTATAGAAATTCTGCTGCAATCATAATTGTATTTAAATTGACGAGGTTTACTTTCTTATCAATATTAAAGTCGCTATTCATTTTCAAGTGTCTCAAGATGGGCAAGAGACATCCAAGAAAATAGTGATCAAGGAGTTGTAATATCCCCTGTTGATAAAACGACAGATTTAGAAGCAGAAAGATCTGTGGGCTATGAGGAAGGTAAACAAAAAGCTTTTTTCTAATTGTTTTAGATATTTTATTGACATTATATGCATTAAGACCTAAAATATTTAAAGGATATTATAAAAATTACAAAATTTAAAAAATAAATTAAAAAATTACAAAATTTAAAAAATAAATTAAAAAATTACCATCTGTGTCTAGTTTACTAAGTTTAATATTTACCTGTTAATATTTAGAAGAAATCAAATCCCTATAAAAGGAAGACTAAGGTCTGAAATACTTTCGAAGTTCAATACTATAATTATTAATTTTTAGCCACTCATAGACTTTGTTAATATTCTAGGCTTCTTTGTGATCCAATTTTCTAAAACCAAACAAAAAGTACAAATTAACACTTGAACTTTTTCTATTATCTAATAGATGTCTTCCCACATGTTATTTTGGAAATGAAGAAAAAAATTTAGAAATTCTAAAACACTAATTTACCTTTTTATAAAAATAGATTTTACCTTAATATCTTCTGACACTTTAAATTAAATCAAGTAGATTTTATTTAATAATATGTTACATATGATTCTATACTATATTATATTATTATTTTGTTAATATTCTACTATAGCGATAGTGGTGTATCTCTTCTTCTATATAATTTAAAAATTTTCATCCATCTCTTGATTTTACATTTTTTCTTGATTTTCTTATTTATTTCTCTTTTTACTTTTATTACTAAATCAAATTTCTTTACCTTAATTACAGAATTTGACCATATTTATCAGGATAATCATTTTCTCAATTAATGGCAGTATATTAAACCTATTGTATCTATAAAAACAAGTTTTCTACTTTACCAGAATTTTAAATATATTGAAATTTGATATTAGGATTTTTACAAAAAAAACAAAATGAAATTAATATATACTAAGGAGCCAAAATGTTTTTGAGTTTCGAAAAAAATTGTCACTTCTCTTAATAAAACACAGCTGTGTCCTCAAGCTAATTTAGATTTAAACAAAGTTGCCAAACTAACAAACCTAAACTATAATTGAACTTATTTTGATAAATTAATAAATGATAGGGAAAATATAAATGTTTCATTAAACGGTGTTTTTTGACAAATTTGTTGATAATAATAAATATATTTAGTAAATTACAATAAATATATATAACTCAGATGTTTTTTTGCAAGGGTATTTTTGAAATTTTTCTTCATAGTGCTTTTTTTTTGAAATTCAAATTCATTTTAGTTTTGGTAATAACATAATGATTCAGCCATAACGAAGTTGGAATATGGTTTGGTAGCTGAATGATAGTAGGCGCAATTCATATTTAATTGTGTGTCACTGGGAATCAACTTCTATTTGTCAATTTGTATGAAAGGCGAATATATAAATGAATTGAGTTACTTTTATCTAAATCTTATATTTCATTCTTTGTCTGTGTTGTTAAATCTCTTGATCAATAATCAGACTCTCTTTATGGTATCTTATTGGAAAATAGAAACATACAGAATAACCTAGAAATTATCCAGATGTACTAAGTATTCATGTTAAAAAAATGCCTTCCTGTTTATTGCATTGACGCTGCAACTTAAACCTTATGCTCGTCCTTATAGTTTAGTATGGCAACAACTAAGTAAGCTGATTAAGCAGTCATTTTTTGTTAATGCTATTAATAACTTGTAAGTGTACTAAACTTGAGTTTATGTAAAGTACTTTTAAGATAACTGTGATAGTTTGTTTACTAGTGAAACTTGTTAAAATTGTACCTGTAGGTGAAAATAGTTAACTAACATTTGTGGATGTATTATATCATAACCAAAATATAGATACTACCTTTCTACTTTTATAATTGATTTGTTTAACCAATATATTTGAATATCTTCTATTGATACTTCTAAAAATCAGTGAAACTACTCATTTTTTGGTATTATGATGCTGACTAACAATAATGGTTAGTAACATTCATAATTATACCAATAAAGTTTTATTTAATCTCGCTTTTTAATCTGTATTTCAATTAAAATTAACCACCTCGAAGTAGTTATGTTGCTGTTTCTGCTCAGCTTCTACATTAACTTCTATAATTTGAAGCTAAATCTATTGTGATAGTTGCCCCTTTAGGAAACTCACTGACATCAGTGCAAATGTATGCTTAACATTTTCAGATAAAGTACATACATAATTTACTTCATAAGGAATATCCAAGTTGAGTCGTGGGTGCTGAAATTCTTATTTGTAATACGATTTTTACTTTACACGTTTTGATATTTACTATTCAAATAACAAATGTTAAGTTAGTGATCTAAGATCCGGAATTGTTGTAGAAATACGACAATATATTACTAGCAGATATCTCTTGCAAATACAGCCAAGTATTCAATTTATAGCATCTCTATTAATATTGCTCTGATACCTCTAATTTAGAAGCACTATGCGTAACCCTGTGAACTATATAAATTACCAACTCAGAGTCCGAATTATTTTGACTCTTTATTAATGTTATTAAGCGATTTTAGCATCAGCTGTCCTGAAAAGCTTGTATTATTTGCTCCGACTAACACTCATACAAAATTCTTTTTTAACCAGGTATTAGATCACATGGGCATTGATTTCTCTCAGGTTTCTGCATCTTTTTTTAAGCATAGAACAGAATTGCCATATTAACTAAGCCTACATTTATTGGCAATATATGAGTTCTAGATCTGCAAATAGATGCCATATTGTGTTAAAAATTTTAACACTGACACTATAGGATTATATGCTGTCAAATTTTTTATAAGTTTTGGATTGCACTATAAATGCTTTCTCTTTTAGTGTTGTGAGTAATCTAATTGCCATCCTATCCATACTCTACTAGAACAATCTAAAACACTAGTGAATCTTGTGCTTCCTGTTTTCAATCTTTGTAGCAGGGCTCCTATTGTTATTATAAGGGTGTTGATGCATGAAGGCTTTGTAAGTCCTAAAATTGGTTTTTTTTCTTTTATTTTAAATGCGAAGCGAAATATAATGTGCTTTTAAATGCTAATATTAATATATACCTAATGTGTCTCCAAAGATTGTTATTAGATGCAATTTTAAGAAATAAAGGACAAGTAGGTTTAAGACCAATTTTAATAATACAACTAACTTTCAACTGCGCTTCTAAATATTTATGGTAAAGAATGAACAGAAACATGGCATCTGATGTATTGAGTTTGGGGCTATATAAACTTATCATTATTGTCAATTATACTTCATAATAAAAATACAGTATTTAAAGTTTAAATTTGAAGAAACTTTTCTTAACAACGTCTGCCGGCTTGACTTTTATAGTTTTGCTCGGCAACTTGAGCTGTTCATAATTACAAACCTTGTCAGAGTAATTAGCAGATGAATATTAAATTAAACATAAATTTCAGTGCAAATATAATGTTTGACCTCACATGAACTTAAGGTACTCATGTACATCTTCTCTATACATGATAATTTTGAATATGGAAACTGCCAGAAATAAGCCTCAAACTTGAGATCAAATTGCTAAATAAGAGTTAATCTTAAATGTTTATTTCCTACTGAATAAGAGCAGTAGTGGGGGTATACAACTTATTATTGTTCATCATAATACAATATATGTGATGATCATGATGCTTGACCAATTGTGTAGTCTGAATTGAGTATATTTATGTAACAACTTTATCATTCCACGTGAGAATAAGTAAACACTAATGCAAAGTTGACTTTTATAAATTATGCATCACCTCTTCAGTACTCAAGCATTTTGATCATTAGCTAATGATTCATCCTGTGGCAAATCTACTACTGCTGCGTGAAATTCCTGCATTTGACTTTTATTGAACATCATAGTTGTCTGTGACTAATTCAAAAATCATCTGACCATCAACCTTAACAATTGTGTTTATGTGATGCTGCCTATAAACGATTAATACTGATTAGATTAAATTGATGTCATGTCTTTATAGCTATGTCTTTTAGTCTCCATTAAATTAATGTACATATTAAGTGTTCAATATAATCAGTTGGCCCTCATGTAAATGTTAACTTTAGTTTTCTGTGCTGATTGAACTCTCACCAATTGCAACTTTTAATATAAGAAATTGCTTTAACATCAAAGGTACTTAATATAAGTAATTTATTAGTGTAGCAGTTAATGTAAGCTATTTATTCATATTGTGTGTCCCTATTAATTGGAAATGAAATTGAAACTAAAACAATCTTCTTTAATTTTTTCGTTTGTTCTCTTAAGAATTTCCCAATAACAGAAGAATGATCTGATATTAGTGTGCTAACTATTTTGAGAATTGTACACATACACTGCTACAAAAATTGATTGATGCATAAAACATTGTAAAAAGTTTGCGCTGATCAACATTATTTGATATCAGCATTCATGTAAACTTTAAGAAGTTTTCTCACATTAACTTCACAGGTTAATAGCNTAATGTGTCTCCAAAGATTGTTATTAGATGCAATTTTAAGAAATAAAGGACAAGTAGGTTTAAGACCAATTTTAATAATACAACTAACTTTCAACTGCGCTTCTAAATATTTATGGTAAAGAATGAACAGAAACATGGCATCTGATGTATTGAGTTTGGGGCTATATAAACTTATCATTATTGTCAATTATACTTCATAATAAAAATACAGTATTTAAAGTTTAAATTTGAAGAAACTTTTCTTAACAACGTCTGCCGGCTTGACTTTTATAGTTTTGCTCGGCAACTTGAGCTGTTCATAATTACAAACCTTGTCAGAGTAATTAGCAGATGAATATTAAATTAAACATAAATTTCAGTGCAAATATAATGTTTGACCTCACATGAACTTAAGGTACTCATGTACATCTTCTCTATACATGATAATTTTGAATATGGAAACTGCCAGAAATAAGCCTCAAACTTGAGATCAAATTGCTAAATAAGAGTTAATCTTAAATGTTTATTTCCTACTGAATAAGAGCAGTAGTGGGGGTATACAACTTATTATTGTTCATCATAATACAATATATGTGATGATCATGATGCTTGACCAATTGTGTAGTCTGAATTGAGTATATTTATGTAACAACTTTATCATTCCACGTGAGAATAAGTAAACACTAATGCAAAGTTGACTTTTATAAATTATGCATCACCTCTTCAGTACTCAAGCATTTTGATCATTAGCTAATGATTCATCCTGTGGCAAATCTACTACTGCTGCGTGAAATTCCTGCATTTGACTTTTATTGAACATCATAGTTGTCTGTGACTAATTCAAAAATCATCTGACCATCAACCTTAACAATTGTGTTTATGTGATGCTGCCTATAAACGATTAATACTGATTAGATTAAATTGATGTCATGTCTTTATAGCTATGTCTTTTAGTCTCCATTAAATTAATGTACATATTAAGTGTTCAATATAATCAGTTGGCCCTCATGTAAATGTTAACTTTAGTTTTCTGTGCTGATTGAACTCTCACCAATTGCAACTTTTAATATAAGAAATTGCTTTAACATCAAAGGTACTTAATATAAGTAATTTATTAGTGTAGCAGTTAATGTAAGCTATTTATTCATATTGTGTGTCCCTATTAATTGGAAATGAAATTGAAACTAAAACAATCTTCTTTAATTTTTTCGTTTGTTCTCTTAAGAATTTCCCAATAACAGAAGAATGATCTGATATTAGTGTGCTAACTATTTTGAGAATTGTACACATACACTGCTACAAAAATTGATTGATGCATAAAACATTGTAAAAAGTTTGCGCTGATCAACATTATTTGATATCAGCATTCATGTAAACTTTAAGAAGTTTTCTCACATTAACTTCACAGGTTAATAGCTATAGCGTATTCTATTCTATGAGGCATACTTTGAAATGAATTTATATTTTTTATGTTTTTATCTTCTGTATTATAATGAAGTTGAACATCAAAATTTGATTAAATTAATGTTGATCCGAATGAATTTAGATCATCCCTCCTTCCCTACTTTATATAAATGTTGCGAGTATTCAAGCTTAATCTTACTTACTTGACAAATACAAACCTTATAACTAAGTGGTATTTAACTTCTACTTTACATAAGTTATAAAATGTAATTTTGGATTCAGAATTCAAATATATTACCTCATCACAAGTAGCCTCTAATTTAAGTTTTCATAGGTCTTATGCAACTTCAATACATAAAGTTCCCTGTGCTGGTTCTATAAATCTATTATTTTACGATACATGTTTAGCTATACACCTAACTAAACTATTTATGCCTTAGGCTTCAAGTATTTAAGTAAGGTCGTATATTCTCATGTCTAGAACAAGTAAGTGCTGCACATTTTCTTAATTTGTAAAATGTTGAAATTGCATTCAATCTGAAGGAGGTTATTAATTAAAATGCACATAAATTAATTATAATTTAGTCTCATGTTTTCGGTTTACGGAGAACTCGAACTTCACAGCCTTGATTCATTTCCAATAGTGTAGCAAGATTATCAACTTTACATGTAATTTAGAAAAAGTAGTACATGTTAAAAATGATGGTGACTATATGGAAATACTTTTTGGTGAATGCCCATAATGCTAATAATGTAGGGCATTATCTTCTATTTCACTTCGAAATATTATGCAAGGCTCCTTAGTGGATCTTATAAAGTTTGTATGGAAGTATACTTTTAATTGTTGCAATAGCGTATCAACTTTCTTAGGTATTCGCATATGCTTTAACAACAAACATTATGGATACCCTTATTTCATTTCACATCAATTGAAGTAGGCTCTACTTGTAATTGATGATTAGAATCTATCTCTGATATTTCATAACTCATATAATTTTATCAGTCTGTTCTGACTAATTTTTATTTTTATACCCAAGTCAATTTTCTTTTAATTAAAATGAAGGTTGTGAACTTAATAGTTCAGTCTAGTATTTACTAAACTTCATGTTTAGAGGGTTGCTATGGTTACTGTATTGACAATAGCAACTGTTTAAGTTAAGTTAGCTCAAATTCCTGTTGTAAAAGAACTTACAATTACGCTTTATTAATTGCAAATTAACTGTGCCTGGAGAAGGTCAAACATTTCCCAAGGATTTTGATGCATTTTGCCATGATGATTATCTCATCATTTCTTCGCTTAATCTGTCAATCTAGCATTATCAATTATTAGATTAAGGAATGGCCTTCAAATTGCAATGTTGACCTAGAACTAATTGATTAATCACATCTTCTATGGAACTATTATAAATGAATTCTTTTTGTAATCATTACTGTTAACTCTGCCATTTGTAGATTATTTTAGTCAATACTCTAAGTGAGGTTCTGATACAGGATGGGATAAATTCTTCTTTTCTACAGCATTATGCTTATCTACTGGAGTCAATTTATAAAATTATTCTTCAACAAATTCCAAGAATTCAACATATTTTTATTACAGTCCTGTATCTGTCCTTAAAGTATACTAAGTTAACTATTGTTCTGTGGGCTTGTAGATAAATTATGAGTGTTATGCTAGCCATTTATTTAAGGAGGAAATTTTTTTCTTTCTCATATATATTATTACTTCAAGAATCACCTTCCCTGTTGAGTCAATCTTCATGTTATTGCTGAAGACATTTTAATAGCAGTATTTATTTCTCTAATATTTCAGTCTTGATTTGTTAAAGACAGGGTTTATATGCAGATGCTGGGCTGTAATTATAATTCTAAAGCAGAAAAATGTTATTAACAGAGCAATTTGATCTACTTATTGCAGTGCTGACTTTTTTGATAAAGGTATCAATCAATTACCATTTTCAGCCCTTTTTGATATTAATTGTCTATGAAAAAGCATATTGCTTGTGATACGTGTGCTTGTAAATCATATCTGGCAAAAATGTGTTGAAATTGTGTCCAACATATTCTGATACCAAATCTTGTTTTTCTTTTAGAATATCTACTTGTCGATTAATTAAATAAAAAGATATTTTTTGAATATCTGGTGCGTCATATATAGAGTATTTAAATGAACAAAAACCTTAAAATCAGAAACTGGCCCTTTTAACTTTGCATTATAGCTTGTTCAGTTCAACATACAATGAAGCAACTTATAACAAGTGTTCTATGTCTATTTAATTTACTACTCATAATAACATGATCTTTTTTTCATCTAGTCCTTTTGAAAATATTCCTTTATTAAGGTATTCCAAATTTATAACTCAAGTTCAAACTCAACCTGACAATCTTAAATAACCCAAATTTAGTATTAGATCCAAGAATAGCTATATTTTGGTCAACTTTAGCATGTTCTGATGGCTACATAGATAAGCATCCTTTTTTCTTGGATTAATGCACCAGTTTATTACAATAGATATTCAATTGTATTCCAGGCTAATATTTATCATCCGATTCAAGCACAACATATCCAAATCCTAAAGTAATTTGATAATATTCTCCAGCTTAATTTGTTTTAAATACTCATATTACTAAGCATGCACTTCTTGTGATGTAATATTTATTCATGCAACTTATCGAATTTATATTGCCCCACTTATTATACTACTACTTCTTTTTGTAGAGTTGCTCGATCTTATATAGCAGATAACAATCTCATTCCAAAACAGCATACCAGAATTTTATCTGGTTAATTCAAATTTAATGTAATAACCTTAACTCAAATTGTTTAAAAATAAATTCTACCCACACAGTTAACAATAATTTACAAAAAAAACAATATTACTTTCATAGGATCAAATAGTTGAGAGAATAATATTCTTTATGTAGAAAAAATACTAACGGAGAATTTTATGAATCACCAGGGAAGAACTGAAATTTTGAATATAAAAATTTATGCTACAGAATGAATAAAGTAGGCTTAATTTGATAAACGAATTCAAGCCCTACATCATGCTGATTTCAACAGGCTATAAATATACTATGTAAACCATTTTATATTCCAACTATTCTGGTTCCTTGTCTTGAGTGCACTTACGAACAATAAAATTATGAAAAAGCACGGTTGTGAACAATAACATTTATATGCGAATAGATTCGACAACAGGAAAACAACTCAACGAGATTAAATAGAAAATAGTGGTAACTGCATCAGCGATTGATTCTAAAAATTTTTGATATTTTTATAATAACTCCTTATATTCTGCCTCCAAAATGGATTTTCCTTTCATCTTAAGTCACTAAATGTGTGTTGGTATTTTCGGCTTGTACTTACTTTTTTCTTACACCTAAAAATTAATGGTAACATATTGGCGCAGTTGCCTTGTGGATATAATAATAACAGCGTTTGATATTGATGTATTAACTCCCAAAAGCATGGCTAACTGTTTTGGGATCCATACTGCCTTTACTGAATTTAATATTTATGGAACATCACTTTAATTTTGGAGTTGATGTCCATATAATTCATATGCTTTCATAACTTGTTCAGCTTTGAACATTTATTTTCTTATGTCTTGTGCTAAATTCAGTCCAGCGCCTTACTCTAATTTTGCGTCTAATGCCTTATATAGTTCTTCTTAGTTAACCACTTATAATAAATGACCAATTATATTCAATTAAGTAGTTTAAGGGAGCACCACATGCAAACGCTACTTTTTGTACTAGAATTAGGTATTTTAGAAATATCGTAACAAGTATAGTAGCAACTTTTAGAAACAAAAATGCCCTGTATCTGATTAATATCTGAAAAAATCAATCTGATAGCCTTCTAACAGAGGATATTTCTCGAATAGCTCATGAGATCAGTGTTGGCATGAATTGACTGCTCGACTAGTTCAAAGGGGTTTCAGCAATAGATTTTCGGTAATCTGATTTTACAGGTTAACACTAGATATTTTATATAGAAAAGCGGTCATCAGTAATCAATGCACTAGGTCTGAATCTTACCATTTAGCAGTTGAGACTACCTGGAGATAATTTTTTAACTAAATTAAATCAATTGACCTTTGATATCTTGTGTTTCTCAGGTTAAATTATTGTGTGCCATTTCTTTCATACTCAGTACCTTCGATTTTTTCTGGTATTGTCAATTAATAAAAAGTTATAAATATTAGATATTCTTATTAATATATTGAAGTGTCAACTGATGAAAATATTTAGAAGATTAACTCCTTAAAATCTCCACAACTATAATAATTATTCTATCGATCCATAACAAAACTAAGCAAAATAATGATATGTTAACAAGATTATATCTATTTTATTCTGAAAAATTAATAATTTGTCTTTCAAATAATTATATTCAAACTTAAAATCAAAAATGACCCGAATGAAGAAATTCACAATTGCAATAATATTAACACATGTTTGTATTTTTAAATTACTAAAACTAATTCTTTTCAGATATTCATGAAGTAAAATGACTGCAGCTCTAGTATACTTCTTGCTAGAAGAATTTTATTGTTACTTAAACTGGGACTAATATGATAACATGCTAAAGATATTTTAAGTTTTTCTCATTTTGGACAACATCAAATGTGAACAAAAATTCACCAAAATACATCTTCACTAGAGAGGTTAATATCTAAAATATTTTGCAGATATATCTTCGATAAATATAGTATAACGATATTATCATAAATCATATTTCAATTTGTAGAGGGTACCATTCCAAGCACACTCATCTTAAAAAAACAAATATTTACAACAAAAAAATGTGGCTCACCAATTTTGCAAAAAATACAACTTCACTATTTTGGGGTTTGGTTTTCTACTATTTATCTATCAAAAATCAAGTTCTGTCTGAAATACTAATAAAAATTCAATATGATTTTTTTAAAAAGAAAATTTTATATTTTAATTATTAATAATTTGTTTTATACCAGCCTTGTAACACTTACGTTTACTTGTGGCCAATCATTAATATCAATACTTTTTATGTATTTAATTTATTCTAAGAATTTATTGCCCATTCATTTGAGGGCGTTAAACTCATTGTTTGATAGAACAAAAAATTTTGTTATTTTAAGATTATCCATTACTGTATGAATGTAACAATCCTATTTATGGGGAATTTGTAATTTCATAATGAATTAATATAATTTTAAAATGAATTAGTTTGATGACCTCATTTAAAAATAATACAGTTTTAAAATGATAAAAATGGTGAGCACTATGGACATAAATTAAGAACAGTTTTTACGGAATCTTAATAAATATACACTTTACACTACAATGAACACATATTTTAATTATATTCAACTAAAATTGTTTAATCACTTGCTTGAAATGGAATACTGCTGAAAAACATGTACTTATCAATGTTAAGAATATGAAGATCAAGAATTAAAAAAAAAAAAACATATTATTAATAAAAAGTTTTAATAAATTGATTAAAATAATAATTGTAATGTTTTAATGAATATTCAAATTCAATTATGCTTTAAGTCCTCTAAAAAGCAACTACCCATTGATTTAAACAATGGTTTTAAATCTATCCCTTAATAATTCATGAATTGTCCTTATAGGATAAGTGTTCCTGATGCTTCAAATAAAGGATTCTAACATATTTTAAGTATAGTACAATAAGGATTAACTAAATAATAATTAATAATACATACCACTTGGCAATTAGGAGCCATTCTGAAGAGGTATGTTAAACTAGGCAAGTAAATCTTTATAGTTACTATCTGATTGAAGTATTTCCTTTGATGTTTTTACATTCCAAAGACGAATAGAGTTATCTGAACTACCAGATGCTAATGTATTTCCATCAGGAGAGTAACAAATTGACAGAACTGCATTTGAATGACCAACTAATTAGGCTTTTTATTACCCTGTCTAAACATCCCATAAACGGATAGAATTATCCCAACTACCGGATGCTAATGTAGTACCATCAGGAGAGTAACAAATTGAATTAACTCTTGATGAATGACCATCTAATTTGGCTTTTTATTATCCTGTCTTAATATCCCATAAACGGATTGAGTTATCCCTACTACCAGATGCTAATGTAGTGCCATCAGGAGAATAACAAATTGATAATTATTTCAGAATGACCATCTAATATTGCTTTTTATTTTCCTGTTTTAAGATTCCATAAATATACAAACCTTCCACTGCTGAAAGCTAAAGTACTTGCATTATGTGAGAAGCATACTGATTTTACAACTTCCTTTACCTTGATTTTAGACTTTATTTTTCCTGTTTTAACATCCCACAATATAATCTTATTATCATCACCACAAGAAGCTAATGACTTACCATCTGGAGAAAAGCATACCTAATTGACTCTTCTACTATGACCATCTAATTTATTTAACTCATGTATTTTGATATTCTTCCAATTACAATTAAACATTTATGCTTAATTCAAGTTCATTCCACTTATACTTACATTGTCAAATTCTGATCCATTGAATATGCATCTTACAAAATTTCCACCATCTAAAGAGGTATTTCTTATCCTGATATTCTCAAAACTTTATTCCCTCAAATCCACTTTCATTAATAAAAGCAAATGAAGAGAATTTGATCCACATTAAATATATGTCTCGTCTAAAGCAGTCAGATGAACTAAAAATTTTAGGAATTCTATTATCTTCTTATTCATTGATACTTTTGTGATTAGATCCTTTTTAAATTCCTCATAATCATCCATTGAATAATTCTGTGTATTGAAGTCATGATCCATAACTTTTTTGAGGACATCTGTTATTATCTTAATGTTCTTCTCTCCATTAAGAGTCTATTCTTTCTCAAGCAGAGATTAGTTTTCTACCTTTTAACCTTCTATTTCTAAAAGGAATTTGTTTTGTTCTTACGAGAGAAATTTTAGGCAGTCTTAAATTCTCTCTTTTTTTAATATGTTTATGAGGATAGGGAGGAATACTTCATCAACCTCATTGGAAAAGGACAACACCTCATACAACACATCTGCCTACTCTTTTTCGTGGTGCATTTCCCTTTTTTTACAAATATTATTGAATTTTTATTACTTTATTTTGAGTTTTATATTACAATCCAAAAGTATCTTAGACTAAATGTTATGAAAGATAGATTCGCGATTTAGTGCTTTGGAATTGATGTAAATTGTACAAGGGGTACTCACATAACCTTGTGCATAATTGAATTCTTAAAATATAGAATAAAAATCTCAACAGCATCGAATAATGACCAAGATCTGCATTTATGATTCATCTTTCATAAATTCAATTTATTACTTTCAAGTTTAAATCTTTAGTATTGAATTACTGGAACTTAACAGAGTTAAACCTTGAGAAATTAATGTCAGAAAGAGTTAAGCATTTTTCTAAAGCAAAATTTTAACTTAATCAAACTCGTGTTTAAAATGACTCTCACTTTTGACTGATAGAAATATAATTTCTACAAGTTATAGATTTTATTAATATATAAATATTTAAACATTAACAATTAAAAAGAAATGAATAAAATTGAATTGATATTGGATTTTAATTGGCTTTAAAAAAATTCAATTTTGTTTCTATTTGAGATCATTCTCTAAAATAAAACTACCTTTAGATTTAAATAATTATTGTAAATCATATCCTCTATAATCGAAAAACTATCCTTTCAAGCCTAGAGCCCCTTAAGCTTCTAAAGGGGTTTTAGGAAATTTTTAGAATGGTGATATAAATGAGAGCTAAGAATAGTGACAAGAAATACCACTTTCAGGAAGATCGTTCTATTAAATTGTTGAAGGGTTATCTGTATAACGATTATTTGAAGATAACATTTCTACCCTGTCAAAAACAGGAAATTAAAATAATTCTTCACCAAATGGATATAACGAAATTTATGTTAAAATAGAAAGATATCCTTTTTGTTATAACAGGCCGTTATCTCTCTTACTGTTTGTGCCATAACGTTAAAACTTTTTAAGAGAAATAATACAGTTATGTAATTTCGATAAATTTTGTTAATTCTAAAATTTATTGTCTAATTGAGTTAAACTCAAAGTTATAGAGAAGAAGGTAATTTCTTAATTTCATAATCAATTAATAAAATTAAACTAGTTGACTGATATTATCGTGGGTTAGAATACTTATTGATGATTAATATATCTTTTCAGTCCTTTATTCTATCGAATACTTTTAATATCAATTGAAAATAATAAATAACAATTTATAAAAATATTACCAAGATTGAATAAATCTATTAATGAATGCAAATTTCGGCTCAATTATTTTATTAGAATCCTTCTTTAGGTAATTGAATTTTCCCCTTTTACCTAATATTTTACAGATCACCTTCTTATTCCACTTCGAATCTAAGCTATAAGAAGTTTTACTGCCAACTATATGATTTTTTTATTTTTTCTAATTGTTGGTCTAATCTGTTTTACATAAGTCTAAGAAGTTAACTAGAACTATTCAACTTTACTTTTTTCAATTATAATCTAAATTTCTTTTTTATTTTTCTTATTAAACAATTTTTAAATGAAACATTTGATTTGCAATTAACTTTGTTAAAATAAAAATTTAAGATTTTTGAATAGCAGAACATTGTTGCAGATTGTTATAAAGAATTTTTAACTTCCGTAAAAGTATACAATCCAAATTAAGTAATCAGAATTGAGCAAGGCTTAATCTCTTTTTTGGTTTAAAATTCCTTAATTCATCAAATTCTCTTGTGGAATCTCATACTTATTCAAAATCTTGTCACTCTCTAATGCAATACAAAACTCTCTAAAATTCTCTGTCTCTATGGAGTGACTCTCAAATTAAGAAAATTCTTCTACTAGCTGAGATTCTCTTTATTTTAGTATTTGTCTTTATAGGATACCTGATATTTTTCTCTACAAAACCTAAATGTTAATCAAGTTTTATAAAATTTGGCTTTCATAAGAGCTGCAAGAATTCTTAATTGTCAGTAATAAGATCAATATCACTACCTTGCTAGGGGCCATTATGTTTATATCGTTAAAGTTACAGAGTAATAACACTAGAAGTGATTAATTTAAGTAAATAACTTTTTTTGTAAATATAGACTGACAATGTTTTATTTAATCACTTAATATATGAATATGATAAAGGTTCATAACTTTGATAGTTAGCTTTTTATATAAGCATTCTAACCCAAACCCATTTCTTATGCAGCAAAATAAAAGTATTTAGCTTCTAAACTTCTATGTAATTCAAATAATGAATCAGCTAAAAAGAAATTAAAGATTAATTTACCTTTATTTTTTGATCTAAGAGCAGTAGGATTTATGTTAAGTGCTTGTTTAAAATTTGAGAGTGCATCCAAGTGTTTCTATAATTTTTGTAGGATTAAACCTGAATACAAATTATCATTACCTTTTTATTCAAAAGCCCAGTCAGATTTAGGGTTAATAGCTATTGCTTGATTGTAACATTCAATTGCTTCTAAGTATTGTTTCAAATTTCTTAATGTATTCCCTAAAAATTAATATTTAAGAATTAGTTACCCTTATTATTCCAAAAATGATCACAATTAGGGTTAATAGCTATTGCTTTGTTGTAACATTCAACTGCTTTTTAAAATTCTTCCAAACCAAATAATGCATTGCCTATATATAAATTTTTGACAATAACTAACCTTTATGATCCCACAAATACATCTATTAAGGGTTAATAGCTATTGCTTCGTTGTAACATTTAATTGCTTCTTAAAATTAATTCAATTCATATAAAGCATCACCTATTTTAGTGTTTTGCAATTAGTTACCTTTATTATTCCAAAACTAATCAGATTTAGGGTTAATAGCTATTGCTTCGTTGTAACATTCAATTGCTTCTTAATATTAATTCAATTATTATAATGCAATTCCTAATTATTATAATTAAACAAAGTTTTTACCCTTCCAATTCCATGCATCATCATATTTAGGGTTAATAGCTATTGCTTCGTTGTAACATTTAATTGCTTCTTAAAATTATTTCAATTCTTATAAAGCATCACCTATTTTAGTGTTTTGCAATTAGTTACCTTTCTTATTCCAAAACTAATCAGATTTAGGGTTAATAGCTATTGCTTC